ATCACACCACACACTTAGTTGCTGGCGCATCAAAGAAGCTTGGTTACATCCGAAGAACGTTATGCCTATCACCTCCTACAGTCCGTAAAATTGCGTACGTAACCTTCGTTCGTACGAAGCTCGAATACGCGTCGTCCATTTGGAGCCCTCACCAAACCTATCTGATTAATCTGTTGGAATCCGTACAGAATAGGGCTGCCCGGTTCATTATGTCCAATTACGACCACTCATTGTTGCATCACTTTTAGAAAGGAGTCTTTAGACTTGCAGAATCTAGCTGACAGACGTATACTTTCTCGACTTTGTTTATTTCACAAATTATACCATTATTTTCCTCACTTGCATGGTTCTCTCTTGCTTTCTCCCGCCCGCTATTCTCGCCGGCTATTTAATTCCAGAAGCCTCCGTCTTTTCGGTACGACCGTTGCATTCAATAAGTCATTTCTTCCTGTCGCCATCGAGGAATGGAATAACTTACCGGAACCATCGTCTCAGAGCGTGACTCGTGCGGTGCGCATTCAAACAACTACTAACAGCTCACTTAAACTTGGAAGCCCATTAAAACTCTACCACGGTCACTGTATTTTGCGCTCTTGTATGTGTAAATCTTGTGCGCGCATGTTTTTATACTTGTATAAGTACATTTTCTGTGCGTCTGTTCTCGGATCCTGCAAAAGTATTGCTCGTGTGTTTGTACAACTTTCTATTTTTTTCCTTGATTTTGTATTTAGAAAAATGTCCCCCGCTCCTTAAGTAATGCCCCTAAGGGGCCCTTAAGGGTCAAATAAATGATGATGATGATGATGATGATACTACTGCGGTGGTTCAGGCTGACGGTGTGGTCTGTATCGAATCTAGATCAGCCGAAAAGGTAACCCGCAGAATAATCAACCATGGAGCATTTAATTACAATATCGCCTGGGTTTTTACGGGTAGAAAACCGTAATACAATTATGAGGCACAACTTAGCAGAGCAATCCCGATTAATTTTGATCACCTAAATTTAAAGCGAATCCTAAGACAACCCTCAGGCATGGTGAAAAAGCGCACTGCAAAAAGCAGGCACTGCATTGAACAGCACAGCCAAATCTTAGTCGCGCGCGGCAAGGAGAGTTGACAAGCGGAACGGAAAGTCGCCACTTCAAGCGCCTTTTCGTCATACATATATGCCCGGCCTTACGCACTTCGGAGTTGCCAGTGTTAGCTGTATGTCGCCAAGACGCAGAGTGCCGCTGTTGGCAGATAGCCGACATAAACATGCAGCGGTATTTAAAATTTTGCATCACATGCGTTTTTCACCACACGCCGCGCACAGGAATCCCACCGGGACAGACAGACAGACAGACAAAGAAATTTATAGATGGCGATCACATTTCATGACGCACGCTGACGCAAATTCTTTTCCCAACGCCATTTCTCCCGATGTAGCTTTCAGCACACATATTCGAACGAGAGGTACAGCCCATAAAGAAAATACCTGGAAGTAACGAGACGAAAAAATCCCCGTAACTCAGCTCTTTACAGACAGATTCGAAAACTTTTCGCGGCAATTCGTTCGTATGCCCGTGGTGTTAGAGTTACTATGGGTCCGTTCGATTCGCCTGCACCACGTGAACCAGTTCACGAGGTGCCGCACCTTGCCATTCGTTTCAGCGGTGTAGCAATGACGGCCTCTGAACCCTGCCATTCGTTTCGAAAGGTACAGAAGAGGTGTGGCACTGGTTCACGATTTTCTTGCACCTCCTACGCTGACGGTGCCGGCTTGGTGCAGCCGCGCGTGCAGCTGAGCAGACGACGCAGCACTTAGGCGCAGGTGCCGTATCCGCCTCTACTAACGCGGTGTGCTTTGCCAAGATGTTTGCGCCGCATAAACTGTCCACATGTGCGGTTTACCATCCTTCAGTGTTAGCTGAACGATGTAAATTAAGCGAAAAGAAATAAGGCCTGCACCTTGTCGGCACATCGTCATTCGTTTCGGGTGTCGTGCTGTGCCAGTGCCTTCTCTATAACTTTACAGAGAAGGCACTGGCTGTGCCTGCACCGCTGAACACACGCTGCAAAATTTCTGAACTTCACGTGCACAGCCGTGAACCGGTTCTGACTAGTGCAGGTGAATCGAACGAACCTTATATATGCTACCTAAAGGTAGCATATACAGTAACTTTACGATGGATGGATGGATGGGTGGATGAATATGGCTGTACCCTCTAGATTGGGCGGTGGCTAGCGCCACTAAGCCGTAATACTTAATGAACCAAAAACTAGATTTATTTTTTCCCCTTAAATAGTGAGGTTGAGAATTCGTACTTTGCAGTGCAGGGTTTAATTTTCACTCGTGCCTTGACTTTAGCCACCAATCAGATAACCTCCTTCTAGTTAATTCTACCCGCTTGAAGTCTATTTTGCCCTCACTGTCCCTAAACCGCAGTGCTTTGAAAGACTCTGCGCCATCATCCTGAACTATACAGTTTTTCACAGGAGGGAAAAAGACACCGCGATGATGGGCTGCGCGCGGGAGTACAAAGGCCAAGGGCGCAGCCTTGTCAATGCATTTTTGAGGGGTCACGCCGATTTGCGCAGCCCAAAAAAGAGTATGGCGGCACCCAAGGAGGCATTTTTGAAAAGGTCATTAGGGTGAAGCCTTTAAAGAACATTATCAAGTGTTCGGCAGTTTTTTCTTCCTCTCCACACAAACTGCATACCGTGTCTACCCCTTCGTATTTGGCGCAATATGTCTTGGTTCGCAATACTCCCGTCCTGGCCTCAAACAGTAGAAAACTACGCCGAGTATTATCATAGATCCTTTCCTTGGCGATTTCCTGCTTAAAATTTCGATAGATCTCTAGTGCGGACTTCTTAATCATGCCAATTCTTCACATATCGGTCTCAGCTTCCTTCACCTTCTTCTTAACCGATAGTTCTTTTTGGTTTCGCCCCTTGCTGCTTTCCAAGTATTTACCAGTCAATTTTCTGGTTCGCTTCCGCCATTGTGTATCGACAATCTTCATGTACAAGTAGCTGAATACCTTCCTAGCCCAACGCTCCTCCCCCATTTCTCTCAATCGCTTCTCAAATTTTATCTTGCTGCTAGCTTCCCTGCCCTCAAATGATGTCCATCCCATATCACCTTGTACTCCGTGATTTGGTGTATTCCCGTGAGCTCCTAAGGCAAGCCTACCTATTCCACGTTGCTTAATTTTTAAGCTTGCTTGAACTTCTGATCTCATGCACAAGACTACATTGCCGAACGTCAGACCAGGAATCATGACCCCCTTCCGTATTCTTTATAACATCATACCTATTGTAATTCCACAGTGCCCTGTTTTTCACTACCGCTGCATTCATATTACCTTTAGTCGACACATATATTTCGTGTTCTCTTAGGTACTCGGTCCCATTGCTTATTCATACGCCCAGATATTTCTATTTATCTGTTATCTCTAGCGTGACCTCCTGTATTCTAAGCTCACTACCTCCATTGTCATTAAAAATGATGACTGCTGATTTTTCCTTACTGAATCTGAAATCTAACCTATCTCCCTCATTACCGCAGATGTCCACCAATCTCTGCAAATCTGCCTTGTTGTCGGCCATAAGCACTATATCATCTGCGTACATCAGTGCTGGTAGTGCCTGTTCAATGAGTTTTCCTTGTTTGACGAAACAGAGGTTGAAGCTTAGTCCACTTCCCTCCAATTTGGGCTCTAATCCTTGTAGGTACAGCATGAATAATAAGGGTGACAAGGGACACCCCTTCCTAAGCCCCCTTTTACCTCTGCAGGCTTGGATACTTGTTTTTCCTACTTTATAATTACCTTGTTACCTTATAGATATCCTTTAAAAGATTAGTGACTACATCTTCCATGCCTAGTGTGTCCAGTATTCCCCACAATTCCTCTTGAACCACGCTATCGCATGCTCCCTTGATATCCCAAAAAAGCTAGGCCACAGGGGCCTGTGTTCCTTTTGTTATTTCGATGCACTGCGTCAGTGAGAACAGATTGTCTTCCAACCTCCTGTGTTTTCGAAACCCATTCTGCACTTCCCCCAGCACCTCCTCATCCTCTATCCATGCCTGCAGTCTTTCCTTTACGTGGAGTGGGTGCACAGCGATGCTCTGCGGCAAGGGTCGGCAACCTGCGCGCCGCGTATTGTGTGGCCCCCGGCACGGCGTCAGAACCTTCCTGCCCTCTTTCTCCGATCACCGTTTCTTACTGAAGGCCGACAAAGCCGTTATGACATGAAATGGGGTTTTTGTTAGTAACCTATGCTTGAATAAAGCTTTGTGATTGATTGATATGTGGGGTTTACCGTCCCAAAACCACCAATGATTATAAGAGACGCTGTAGTGCGAGGCTCCGAAAATTCGTATCACGTTAGATTCTTTAACGTGAATCTAAATCTAAGCACACGGGCCTACAGCATTTTCGCCTCCATCGAAAATGCAGCCAACGCTGCCGGGATTCGATCCCGCAACCTGCGGGTCAGCAGCCGAGTATCTTAGCCACTGAACCACCGCGGCGGGGCTAAAACTTTGCAACATGCACGCTGAACATATACATGATTTCTAATCCAGTTTTTATAAATTGCGTCAGTTGGCCTAATTTTTTCAGCTTAGCCTACCTTCCCAACCATACCGTCCTAGCCATATTTGCTGTTGATATTTTGCAGAGGATATACGAATGTTTGTGGGAATCGACCCGACAGGCTAATCTCAGCCGCGAAATTTTGTGTCAGTGTCCCTTTAAGTAGACGAGTGTTCTTCGCATTTCGCCCTTATATGAATGAAGTAACATACAACATTTCTTCTCACAAAAAATGTGCAGCAAACCTACTTATTCATTGGGCACTTCTGCAATAATCTGAAGAGGGCTCTACAAGAATGAACTGGTGAAGGCGTAGTTGAACCTACAATGTTTCCAGGCGAATGTTTGCCAGGTAGCAGTAAGGACTTGCAGCGCAGACCTCCACAGTGAAAAATGACAGAAAAGAAAAGCATGTATAGTGCAGCAAAATTTATTTAAAGCAGGTACATGTAACAACACAATATCCTTCTACACTTTGATTGGTCCAGTTTTTACAGTCATGACGACTTTCGTTAACATTCATTTTCTGCAATGACTTTCTTCGCTGTTATTATGCACACGTTGTAGAGTAATCACTCAGGCAATTACTAACCGGCTCTTCTCAAATACTTTGGACAGCGTTGCATAGCATTCGAAACAATGCACAACGGACAGCCACACACGTGAGGTATGTCATGCAAGCATAAATAGGGGAATGAAAAAGGCAAAGTGATACAGTGCAAAACAGTAAACTAAGTTTCTACACCGTCATTTATTTCATAACTAAAGCAGGAATGTTGGTACAGCGTGTTCTCAGTAAGCAATTGACCCTGTCATACATAAACCATCTAAAGTGTCAAACGTGCTATAAACTTCGTAAATATCTAATACTGGAAAGTACCTCTATAGTAACAGGCAGCATTCTCCACGTGAACAGGGCAGCTTTCAGCTAATGGAGCTACCCACACAACTTGGCAGAGTGCAAAAATAAATATTTCGATTCAGAAAGACCGAACCGTGATGAAATCTATAAAAAGGCATATTTCACATGCAACAGCATCTCTTCAAAATATTTTTTAGGGTTAAAAAAGCGATGATTATTGAAAAGTTAAAACAAAAGGAATGGGAGCTTTTTCGAAGATGTCACGCATATTCAATGCGCAAGCAACAGCATTCACATGGCAATGTGTCCTACACATTGCATGCATTGTAAAAATCACCAAGCCTTCATATCTCTTTCTGTAATTTACATGCATGCTGATATTTATAAGTAATAAATTTTCTTTGTCCGGCTTGAACACCAAAGCCATTCCAAGACAATGAACACACATTTTGCATAACACAATGATAGGTGTCACATTTTGATAAAACAACTTTTCAGCTACCACTGTAGACACAATAATCACACAAGTTGCAGCCCTGAATCAATGACTGTATACAAGCAGATTTGTATATCGCACTAAAATAAAACATACACACACAAAGGAATTCTCAAGTGCCCGTAAAGCGCTGAACATGCCTGTTTGCAAGTTGGATACCACGATACAGATGCTTGTGAACAGCGCGACAATCGTCACTGAAAGAAAATATAAGACAGAACATAAGAGAATAAGCTAGTTCTTGCAAAAGCTTTCTGGTCTTAAAATGCACAGTCTCAGCCAGGTTTTTCCAAATATATAAGTTATTCAACCTACTATATTTAAGCACTGTCATTTGCGTCGTACTGCGAAAGAAGCTTAGCATGTTTACCACCCACAAAACCTTGTGCTAAGGCATGCATGTACGGTGAACTTTTCCCAAAGCAGTAACAACTACTTTAAACCGTACAATGATCTCAAAACAATCACTATGCCACTAATGCAATATCAGCCTAATATGCGCTGAAATCTAGACACCTGCAAGCACCACTTGCTGTTACACATTTCATTAGGTGACAGCAAGAGGAAGAATCATTAGCTCATGACGCTTTATGTATAGATGACTGCATTCCATGCTGCCAAGAGTCTGATACGTGGCAAGAAACCATTGGGTGGAAATTTCATTACGCTACACAAGTGCAACAATCGTTAGCTCATGACTTGCTGCACGTAGCAATGATTGCATTTCATGCTGCCAAGAATCTCATACATGGCGAAAAATTCACAGGGAAAATAAAAATGATGCCGGCTTTAAGCTTGCATCAAAAATAATTAAAAATGAAAGAAACTACCACTTTCAGCAAGTGGCTTCTTCAACGATCACAAATGATGAAATATTATAGTAAAGCATCGATTCACTATAGTCAATGCGACTAGATCATTATTCCATCAAATAAGAGGCAGTTGACCAAAGGCAATGCTGTGGTCAGCATTTGTGTCAACCAGGCAGCTCATCCATATCGTAGAGTTTAGTTAAAACATGCAGTGTTAAGACGCTGGCAGTGTGCAGTTCTATAAAAAGAGAAGCCCACCACAAGCAGCACTACAGTGACTCTTGAAAAACGTGACATTTTGTACACTACGAGTTTCTAGTGGCCCACTTTTTTTTTTTCCTCAGCATATTTCATAATCATTGTTAAAGGCACACTGAAAAAAAAAAACGATTCTATCACACGAGTAAACTGCCCCGTCACTATTCTGATGTAACCACGTTAACCATGAGAAGACGCTTGGCAAGTGAGTAAACACGCAAAAAGCAAGCGCTGGTGGCTGATGCCAACTTTAAATTTCAGCACCAAATGCTGTGACGTTATAGATCTTCACTGAGTTTACTAGATATCAAATAGTTAATCAGTAAAATTGAAGTACAATGACCTTTGAAGATGCCATTGACTTATCGTACCAAGTTTAAGAATATTAGTGAGTAGAAGCAAAATGGCACAAAGAGAAAAAGGACTAAGAGTGGAGAAAACACGAGCGCGAGCGATCTTGAGCAACAGCTGGCAGTGGTCATGTTGTCCACTTTTTGTTAGTTCTCCTCACTTCTTAATGCCCTGTTTTGATTCCACCCACTATGAATTGCTAACCACTTGCCAAGTTCTCAATCTTATTCAAGTTTCAAGAAACTTCGTCGAGCCAATCACTTGCCAAGTTCTCAATCTTATTCAAGTTTCGAGAAACTTCGTCGAGCCAATGTCGGCAAAATAAGAAAGATCCGCTTTGATATCCTTGACGTCGTACATACAAATTTTAGCATTACATTTCAAAATGCAGCTTTGGCCCAGATTTTGTTTATACTGATAAACCTATTATGGCGAAATTAGAATTTGAGTTCTCAGAGCCCAATTCATCAGTCTAAGCTGGCTCACTGTTTCCTGCTTTCTCCTTTAGATTTGCGAGACATTTTGTTTTTATTCTTTCAAATGTGTGTAAAGCTCCCGTTTTATGCAAAACAGTGATTTGTTATGCAAAAAGCTTAATGAAGTCCCAATTTCTCAAGTGAAGTTAATTTTACAATAGGTGAGCACTGTGCTCTGTTCTGTACAAAGTGAGGGTACCTACGAGGTAAAGTGTCATGTTTGTTGCCTGGCCTGAATTAATAACATTGCTCTATCACATGCAAAACGCTGGCATCATGCCTAGAAAAGCGCATGTACATTCAAGGCACGACAAGCACGGGACATGGGAATGTTAGCACATATATATATCAACGATCTCTCACTGAATCTAGCACCCACACTTTGTGTGCCACATAAGCAGATGCTATAGACCTGCCTTACTTATTATCCAAACTGAATTCCTTAACAAAAGGCAAGTATGAGGAAACTCTACATGAATGATTACTTGGAGAAAAGAACGGTTTACAGGGAACGACGATCGAGCATGTAGAAGAGCTGCGAGATGTGGAAGCAATTCACTAGAGTAGTGCTTCTCAAGTGGAGGTCCGCGGAAGGAATTTCTGTGATCTGCGAAACCCTCACTCACATTTTTCTTTAAGCGTGACTATGCCACGTATTGATCAACTGTTTGAAATAAGTGATGTGGAATGTTTGTTTGATGTTTTTGGTAGCCCAAAAGGGCACCTGTTTCACGTTCCAATTCTGTTATTTACCTACTTACCCCCCCCCCCCCCCTCTCCTCCGCTGCAAGGGATCCCCCATCACTTGCACCAGTCCACAAGGGGTTTGGACACATCCATGGATGAGAACTACTGCACTAGGGAAACAACTTGAAATGAAATAGTGACTAAAAAAAAGAGGAAAATGTGAGCAAGACGTGAAAATCAACCATACAAGGGCACAATAGGCAAGGCTCTGAACTAAGTTTCAAGCACAGGTAAAGTGCACCCGGCTAAATATGAATATCTCAATATGGGCACTCATGGTCATTAGAACCTAGGAGCACTGTTACCAGCGGTGGGCTGGGAATCCCTGAGAATGAGACCACCAGAAAAACACTTTAACGGCTGCTCGGCAGCCACAATCCGAAAACAACAGGCAGGAGGCACACTGTGACATAACTGGCATATCCTCAAGGCAACGCAATGACCGGGCACCAACGGCAACCCATCTTTGCTTTCTACTTTTGCTGGCAGCATCATTCTGCCATCTTCTTCATCTGCAGCATCAGCTTTCGGCGCTTCACTTTTTCCGTGTGCACGCGAGACTTGGCAGCCCTCGCAACACAATCGCGCACAGCTTGTGCAGCAGAGGCGACGGCCTGAAACGCTCGGGCTTGCTCCCGGGCAGCCCTGATCTGCTCGACTAGCAACGTCTTGCGCAGCTGTGCCAGCTCATCTTCTCCTGCTTTTTCGTCGCAGCGGCTGCCGGCATCTTCCCCGTCCCCACCTGTCTCCGCGCTGGGACCACTAGGTTGGTGTCTCGTGGAGTTTGCCGGAAGCTGAGGTGGAGGAGGGGGTATTGGCGGCAACGCCTGTCTCTGCTGCGGTGCCACGGCGGGACGACGGCTGGCACCCATCTGTGAACACGTTGCCTGCCGAGGCACTGGCTGCTTGCCAGAGGCAGCAGCAGTGGCCGGTCGTTCGTAAACAATGCCTAGCGCTTCGGCAACATCGTCATGGTCATCGTCACCTTCGAACTCGGCTGTTAGACACTCAGCTGACGACGGGTGTTCATCATCATCACTGTGCTCTCGCTTCATGGAAACTGTGGGGGCCACGGCACCATTCGTGGATGGACGAATGGCACACAGTGCTGCAGATGCAGATGCTGTGCCCGACGCTCGAGCGCTAGTTTTCCAAAACCACTCTGGCACACTCGAGTCCAATGACTGGATGAGTGTTTCGTCCTCAGAGGAACCTAGGCCGTTGTCTTGGCTTCCATCAACGTCACTGTGGGAAAGCCACATAAAAACTTAGTGACAAGGACAAAAATATGAAAAGACACACATTATTAATAAAACAATCTTGCTTGAATGCAATCAATCATGTTCCGATGAATGTTTTACGTAATAGTATATTTGGAAAGGGACAATGTTATTCATATCAGTAACTTCTAGTTGATAGGAGACCAAGATGATGGTGCAGTGGCTCTTCTATTGTAATGGCTACACATACAAAGTGTATATAGGTCCTTAACAGCTTGCTTTAGTCCAGAAGAGTAAAGTAACGTGGTGTCGCACAATGTGATACTATGTTGTCATATTGCGTGACTAGCGGGTTGTTGAATTCTTCCAACCCATTACAAAAGGCTCAGACATAATTGTTCACTGTCATTAGTCATGGCATCAACCAAGCACACATGTCTTCCAGGTTTGTAACAGGTACCACATTTTTTCGAAGAATGACGAATAGCAAGGGAATAGTGCATGATTCCATACTGCGAAATTATGATGATTTATGGTGTAGTGTGTACTGTTCAAGTGTAGTTGCTGTAGTTTCCCCAAGAGTGTTTAAAAAAGGCTTTAGAAAGCCCGCTCTTCCAGCTTCTGCTGTGCCTTTGCTGTACATTCTTCACAGGCCCGGTGTTTTTCTTTTCTTTTCTTTGTAGCATGAGCTACAGTAGCAGAGATTGAATAGTTTAGCGTGACTCCTGGAGAGCCATGCTGCACATCCACGACAAGCAGCGACGTCGCACGACGCATAGCTGGCACACGCGCCTCGCCGATGAGCGCATTCCAAACAAGCAACGTCATAGTCGCAGCAGACGCATTCTGCTCACATCTTGTGGCTCGCGCAGCTCGAGCCTCGCTGCTACATACATATAGTGAGGCGTTTTCCAGTATGGCACAGCCATGGAGACGGAAAGCGGAATTTCTGTTCAGCAGCGCAAAAGAGCAGAGAAACTCATCAGACCACAATGTAGTTGCCTGGCAATTAGCACATAAGCATAGGAAGAACAAACGGAAGAAGGTTGAACGTGCCGCGAGGACACCGGATCAAAAGAAGGAATGTCTAGCAAAGCGGCGTTGCCAGGAAGCTGACTGACTTGCCCGACCATCTCAGCTGCAGCAACAACGAGACGGCATCTGTGTTGTCAAGGCTAGCCGATTGACCAACTGTACGGTGAAACTTCACGAATGTGTGGGTATGACTTAGCTCACGCCACATATATCCTGGCATAGCAGAGCTAAGTCAGTGCTAAATTTTTGTATTCCTGACACACCTCTTCCCTTGATTCACACAGTCCACCACGGCACTTGTCGCCTACCTGCTACCCTGCTTCCCCAGTTGTTCTCTCCACCTTCTTTATTTAGATTGAAGGAAAGGGTACGAAGATTATAGTACACACTAACACTACAGATATTAGTTTTAGCCTTTAGCCTCGAAGAAGACGTCTATTTGTTGAAATGTCAGCTCGAGCCCACAACCCCTGTTAATAGATTTTTTTCAATGTAACGGAGAGTGAAGCATAAGTACACTAATGCTAGTAGCGATTTAAAGCACGCAACAAGCAGATCTAGTCAAAACTTGACACCAGCATAAATGTGCAGAAGTCTTATGAAGGCGCCTAGTGAAGGACAAGATGTCGAGCTGGATATGTAAACAATATGTACTAAATACTACATACGGTTGAAAAATATAAATCGAGCTTTTGCAGTTTTGACACCTCACTTGCGTAAAAAAACATCACTTAAAAAGCCTAAAGTGGTAGCCTTATGGACTTCATAAGCTATGTGATGCAAGAAAGAAAATGGTTTGTAATTATGGTGAGTCCCTTGTCATTATTCATCAACTTTCAGACCAGATAATATAATAATTGCTGGGATGGCAATCAAAAGGATGATATAAGGTAGCCCTAACTTGTTCCTCTACATTTTCATTTTTGCTGAAAAGCATGCGACGTTTACACTGATGCTTTTTGTCTTTCAGAAGCTCATAACACTGTGATGGTACTTCGAGAGAAATTTAACACAATACATCAGAGATCTGTAATTTGCATATATGAATGTTGTCTTGGCTAATCTGTATTTCCTCTAATATCCCGAACAATCTGCTCCCCAGGTTGCCCCATTCTGTTGAAAATCCATGAAAACGCTTCTTATACTGAAAGCAGCTGGCACACTACTTCATTAAAAGAATAATTAACCCCATAATTTATCTACACATGTGTAGTAAGAAAAAATTGTCAAACACTTCCATGGTTCCTTTATAATAGCTCCTTGCATATTATGTTGTTTGTCGAGGAGGCCACCGATGCTGTGAAATGTGTCAAATGAGGGGGAAAAATGCTTAGTTGATATATATAGACTGATGCAATGACGTGCAGCTCTTTATTTAGCAAACTATTCGTGCCTTCTATTTAGTACACCGTAGAAATGGAAACAACAAATAATTACTCTAAAAACGATGTAAATTCCTTAGGGCTTAACATTTGTGATCCAGTACAACAAAACTTTGCCGTGGAATCTCTGAAAACACTACAAACGCTGCCAGAGTGTCCAACAGAATCGCAATACTATTGCGACAGACACACTGCAAGTTGCACATGAACGTACCCACAGATGTCGGGGCCGGCACCATCAAGAAAGTCAGCGTACGAGCAATCATCACCAATGACGTCGAGTATGGTTCTCTCCACAAGAGACAGATCCAAGGAACGCCCATTCTCACCTAAGCACAGAAAGATAAATCAATAAATCAGTCATGACAGGATGAACAGTGTGCCAGGCATCAGTATACCAACAGCAGACTCCAATGCAAGGGCACTACTAATATTATTTGTAGGGGTTTATTGTCTAAAACCATTACACGATTATGAGAGATGCCATGGTAGAGAGCTTCGGCAATATCAGTCACCTGGAGTCATTAAACTTGCATCCAAATCTAAGCACAAGGATTTGATCCCGATACCTGAGTCAGCAGTTGAGCACTGTAGATCATTGCGAGTGAAAGGACACTATTAATTGTGAAAAGCTTAAAAGGTGCATTTGAATTATCTTCCTTGAAGAGCTTTCCAAGGAAAAATTATTAACTGAATAGGATAGTAAATACGAATGAGAATTTAGTAGCTGTTCAGAACTCTATTACCTGCCAGGAAGTCAGGTGCAAAGCTAAATGAATATATAGGCTAAAGGACAGTGAATGTACTTAAGTGGGATGGTGGCTGTGCACTCAGCGTGAAATTCTTACGGTTCACAAGGTCTGAGAAAAGCAGAGTCATTTCCATAGCCTGGGTAGGCATGCCGCAAGGCAATTGGATTTCATAGCTGTAGATATACGCTCACACAGAATAGTGCTGAATAGTTTCCCACTGCGTGGTCACAAAGGAAATTCAGTTTCCACAGATTCTGAAGTTTCTAAACTTTTGATGCTGACTCCAACACCAGTCTAGCTACCCTGATCTACGTACTGTAGACATATTAGTAATGTGTTTTGACGCAAGCATGACTTCAAGTTCTACACATAAAAACTTATTCTAAGATAAAATTGTAAGAAAGGAGTAATGACATCCTTGCAAAGACATGGAATGAGAGTAACAAACAACATTATGTTAGGCTCAAACAGCCCATTATAACATACCAAATTTGAAGAGGAATTTCAACTTCAGCTTGACATTTATATTTAAGCGTCTTTTAACAGTCTTGCCTCATCTCTCTTGATCACAAACACATAAAAGCATAAGCTTGTATATGGCGACAATGGGTGGATAGCAAAAACCATATTCTTTGGAAAGGTTTGCAAGTTACAGTGCCTTCGGCATCGACATCCACTTCAACATACTGTACCATCATACGATGCTGTTTGTTCCGTCACTATCAGTTTCCATCATTAGTCACAATCCACTTATTTTGCACAAGTTACTTAACACCTTGTGATTTTTGTGCAGCTTAGTTGAATAACAAATGAAATTCCTTCTGGACAGCTATGAGTTGTTCGAACGGTCACCGATTCGTTCAAGTGGCACACACTTCCAGAAATGTTCCCAGTTTTTTTATTAGCAGAGAGTGCATAGTGTGCAATTTTTGATCCATACAGAGATATGTTACGCATTTGCGTATGGTATGCGTCTTTTTGTATACCAGTAAATCTGTTTTCACGAGTAGAACCCGTAAACTTATTTGTGTGCTATTGTGAGGCAAGGACAACATCTTGGGTTTGTACGCGAGTAAAACATTTTTCACTCTAGAGCTGAGCAAGCCTCGTCTATAAACCTAAAGCTTATAAACCATGGCTTCCTTGAGGGTCTGTTACCTCACAGCACTGGAACTTACGTTGCGTAGCAGCAAATCGCTGCATTTGCAACAGACATTTCTCTTGCCAAATTCACCCAAAATATGTCAGTCGTTCATACCCAAAAGTCTCTGAAACAACAGAAATGTCATACCATATCACTTTTCGTTTCAGAAGCAATGTCCATTGATTTATGTCCTAGCCAACACCATAGGGAATTATTGGGTGTTCAATTGGCATTCCCCTTGCTTTGCATTTTTGCCATCGTATTTAACCATAAATAGGTGATAAATATCAGAGAGCAGGTGTGCTAATATAAATCATTTAATTTGCAACTCCGATAACCTGTATTGTTCTCAGAAGTCTTTGTCGCATTATTTTGAGAACATATGTTGACATTTGGCATGTGTCAATACACGTCACCGTTTATGAGGCGGCCACAACTGGTGCTCAAAAATATGAAATCGAGCTCATTTGGAAAAGTTCCTGCATGTTATAAAGCATCAGTCTTGCATATACTGGCCATTGTGCTTCGATCCTATCCCTCACTGCTCCCTGTGTTTCAATCTCAAGTGCCCACTGAAAACTGTGGACTTTGTTCTATGTAAAGTGCAACATTGGTAACAACCACGTTGAAGCGGCTAAGCGGTAGGCCTTGAACCCGAAGTGTCGCTGAGGATGATGCACAATTTAGCTATTAACCTATTACACAAGAAAAAGCTTTTTTTTTTGGCAGATTACAAAATCGAATGCCAAACAAAAATGTACCTAAAACTTTCCATGCTTGCCTACGGTGGACTAACTAATCAATAAGCTACAAAACCTAACACAAGCAAGTGTGGCTCACTTCCATACTCTTTCACTAAAATTAACATGGACTTTAAATGGGAACATTTTCTCTGGAAATAATTTCAGACAGCTAAATACAGCCTTCACAACACTTCTGACATTCTATGACACTACCAGATACATGGGGTGATGGCTATTAGCTGATTGATCATGTACTTCCCTTCCCTACCTGCAAACACATGCAATTATGTGATCAGAAATAATGGCAACAAGTTATAGCTGGTAAGCTTCAACTAAAGTCAGTGAAGTTCTCTATACTCTGATCTAGTGAGCATTACAGATGAAGCAAGAACAAATATGGATAGCTTATAAGACCAGAGTGTTTTCTAAGAAGTGGTTAAATAAAGAGACATATGTTCAAATGCCCATCTGGCTCCACATATTGTGATGACCACTTATACTACAAAAAGAATCTCTCCTAAAAGAAAGGTGCTGCTTACCTTGCCGGCTGGTGCCGCGGTTATGTGCATTCACGCGGTGCTTGCACCTTTGCACAAGGTTGCTCCACTGCTTCTTGATCTCAGGCACGGTGCGCGTGTGTGAGTTGTTGCCCTCATTCAGTGCCTGCTGCACCGCAGTCCAGGCGGACCGTTTGGCGCGGAGCGTCAGTGTGGGACCCAGCTTGCCGCGAATGACGTCAATGCGCTCGCCGATCTCTTGCACGAGTCGCAGCCGCTCGTCCTCGGTCCAGTTGGGGCGCTTCTGACGATACACGGCCATCTGAGTGCCGGCCACAGCCACCGCTGCTGCCATGCACTACAAGGATGAGAAGCTGCTAACCTGGGACGAGGGCCGCAGGCAAGCCACCAGCTGGAAATCGCGACACAGCACGGTGTAAGGACGCTGGTTCGGGCTCTTGCCAGGTTTTAACAACCAATAATTCCCGTAAGGCTGTTTACATGTGCCAAATGCAAAGAATGCGGCCTTAAAAATATGTTTCCTCAGAGTTTGCAAGCTTCCTATACTATGCCGTACAGCTGCTCATTAACAAGTGCCAATTCTAGATGCTGAAGAATACTGATGCATAAAAGTGCTGCATAAATAACCCCCAAACCTAACTCTCCAAAAAGAACTTGCACAAAAGAGTCAAACCCATTTTTTATGTTCAAGTGTAAGAAGCTTACAAACGACGCAATGAAGGTTTGTGTGTATTAGTGTGCATAGTCCCAAGACTCTGATAGCATATCAAATGTGTCTGGTAAATAATGCTTTTGCTATGTAATCAAGGCTGAGTAAAGCTTGTGCAGGTGATGGGATGAAACTGGAGCAAATAACAAATTAAGCCTATCAACACACATCACTGTACATTTTTCAACGTAACAAGAATGACATATGGACAGGCCGAGATAAAATTTACGAGCACTGATGTCCACATGACGTCTTGTTAGCCTTTGAATGCAGTCTCCCGATAGGGCAACTCTGAACAAGTCCTTGTTCATCACGCTGTCACTTCAGCTTAATGAACAGCACAGAGCTCAGATAGCTCAAGCCAGAATAAACTGGCATATGACAGAGACAGCTGAAGATACCATCACTATTACGGTAAGCAGCAAGGGCAATGACTGCCGGCTGCATTGCACATCAAATGAATTTTTTCCCTGTTTATATCTCTAGCTGCATAATGCTTGTTTGATTCCCACATATGACTTTCACAAGCACACCAATGTGCTTGTGTTCTTAAGTTCGTTTAAAAAACATGGCCCCTTCACCTGCGCGCCTTACACCGTGCTGGAAGCTACGGCACCGATGTCCATCTACGCTCTGCGTACCCCACTGCCCAAGGGCACGAAGATTCAGTTGCAGTATAAGACACCGTGTGCGCTATTATAGCATTTGACCAAGTCTGCTACAATTCTCCAAGGAATTAGCAAATGTTGGAAAAAGATAAAAAAATTATGTGCAGGTGAAATATCGTTTGTCACATTTCCAAGGTTAGCAACTGAAGAAATAGGAAAGCCAGAGACTCTTTCTGGACCATCTGTCACCATTTTCTTGTTTGCATTCTCAAAGGAAAAGAGCCGTAGTGTGGTCAATCAGCTATACAATCTTGATCAAAGTGCAGTGGCCACGAAAAACAATGTTGACAAAGAAAATAGCATAAGAGCACTTGTCCTGCATGCTTCTATTTTCCACAAGAGAAACGAAATAATGAGGAATGCATGCAAACACAGCGATCTAGTGATCCAGTGGAAAGGTCGCAAGTTTGTTCAGCAGTGAGCCCAGATTACCGGGCACCATTTTACAAAAATTTACGTCATCCTGAAATGACCAGTAGGTTCACAATAATGGCAGCAGTGGGACTAAAAATGCAGCAACCCACAGGCTCCTAATGAAGTAATACTCCTTGGCCTGCCATTGGACTTGCAAGAAAAACTGGTGATTTTGCACATGACAGCCAGTTGAGGGTGCTCATGATTATAGGCGTGCACGAAATTCTCATCCAGGGGTGTGCAAGGTCTATCACAGCTTCCCCCCCCCTCACTATTAAGTCAATGTGTTTGCTAACTTTGGGCCCCACCACCCTTTAAAGAGACACTAAAGACAAACAATGACTTGCTTTAGATCGATAAATTACACTCTGAGAACTGAAATTCCATTTATTTCACTACCATAAATTTGTTATTAGCAGTGAAAATCAAGGTTGAAGCTTAATTTTTAAATTTCTCACTCAAATTTCGGCATGTGATGTCAAAAACTTAAAAACAAATTTTTCACATTTTCGCAACATTGGCTCGATAAAATTTTTTGAAACTTTGTACGCTAGATATATGGCACCCACGGACGATGTAAGCTACATGTAACCCAGTGGGTACCTTTAAAATTCAGGACGTCATGGTGTTCGGTGCGGGAATCGCAAGGTGACGTCTCCACCAGTATTTCCTTTTCACGCAATTTCTCGCTATACCAACTGTTCTGTCGCGGTAAGAGTGGCGTTTTCAGGATTACAAAATTGAACTTGACCAATACACGAAAAATCCTTTTGCTCTTTAGTGTCCCTATACGGTGATATGAGGACGGGGCCGCCTCCACTCCCCAGTGCGCATGCATATGCTCAAGATGCAGCTCCAGGTAGCCTAGCATGTGAATGAATCCCACTAGAGAGTCTCTGCATAAAAGGCGTCTTCTCCACATATAATGGCCAGCCTCCATCTCTTGGTGAGATTTCACCAACCATTATTGAGATTTCAGCACTGGTAACACATGCTAAGTATATCCCTTTCTTGTAAAAATCTCTCAAAGAACCAAAAGGCTTTTTGCTACATCCTGCACGTTCGATGTCTATGGCTTGGAAAACTCAAGAAGGTTACACTCATTCAAATGTTAAGTGTATCACCTAGTTGTGGATGTGTGGATTTGTGCACTTGAGCAGATCAGTGGATGATGCATGTCATTGTTGTCATGACCGCACAAAACATGTCAGACTCTGCAGTCTTGCAGACAAGTAACCCCACCTGCTGACACAGTTTTGGGAAGTGCGAAGCCCGACTCCTTTGCACAGTTTGCTGCGCAACCAGGTGCAACTAGCGCGGGCGAAACAACGATTGAGATAAATATTAGATGTGTTTGAGCATTGAACTCTCAAAAAAGAACTACGAATTTCTCTTCGCTAGTTGGTTGCGTCACCGAACCGCCATGCAGTGCTTGCTGATTGATTGATTGGTTTGTGGGGTTTAACGTCCCAAAATCACTACTTGATTGTGAGAGACGCCGTAGTGGAGGGCTTCGGAAATTTTCACCACCTGGGGTTCTTTAACGTGCACCCAAATCTGAGTACACGGGCCTACAACATTTCCGCCCGCATCAGAAATGCAGCCGCCAAAGCCGGGATTTCATCCCTCGAGCCGTGCTTGCCAGTTCACTTGCCAGAACGATGGTGAAAACAAGAGCAGACGCAACAGCTTCACGCTCAACGAAGAAAAGCCTCTGTCGAGGCTAGTTACGTGTTGTGAATCGCCAAGGTGTTCGCCAAATGACGTAAAAAACTGCAGTTTTAGACGATTCCCGTAGCTTCCGTGAAGCAGAACGATAAGAGCGCTGGATACGGGCAATTGCGAATGCGTTGCACAAGCGGATTACTTGTGTTCTCCACAGCCGGTTGCACGACAAAGTGTGATGATGTAGGTCTCCTGTTAGTGTTTTGAGTAACCTTGACATAGAACCGTGGTAATTTCGATTTTGAAGCTCAACAGATCTTATCACTGCAGAGCGCGCCATGCAAAAGTAGATTGGCGACGAGAGCGATAAACATCGCACAGGCCACGACTATCGATAATCAAAGGTGGTTGCCACCACACAGCACCGCACACGTAAGCTTTGAAGGCTCTAGGTTCCGGCCAGCTTTAACTAACAAATGTGAACACGTACTTTATATAGGTAAATCGCAAAATATTGGTCATGACCACAATAGGGTTTTTCTCGCCGCTGGTCTCCATGATTGCGCAGACCAACGGAGGGCTCAGTTTTCATTGTTGTACATCGCGGAGGTGAACACACATGTATTCCCATTTGCAGTATATACAAACAGAGGACAACCATCAGCAGAACAGCCCCGCCGCGGTGGTCTAGTGGCTAAGGTACTCGGCTGCTGACCCGCAGGGCGCGGGTTCGAATCCCGGCAGCGGCGGCTGCATTTCTGATGGAGGCGGAAATGTTGTAGGCCCGTGTGCTCAGATTTGGGTGCACGTTAAAGAACCCCAGGTGGTCTAAATTTCCGGAGCCCTCCACTACAGCGTCTCTCATAATCATATAGTGGTTTTGGGACGTTAAACTCCACATATCAATCAAATCAATCAGCAGAACATTCTAGGATGCATATAATAAAAGATTTCAACACACAGGAAGCGAGAGATGAAGAATGCAACTGCAAAGGCAATAATCGCCGGGGCTATTCGTGCCATATTAAGCGAGCTTCACACCACTGATCATACGATGCATTGCTCATGTATCCACTCGTCGGAGTGCTTGCCTAAAACTCAATGATGTGCGACGCTCGCTTGCACCTAAATTGGAAGCTGCAGCTCATTGATATAACTGAAATATCTTTCGCATTGTACCTGCGGTTCGCTTCGATGAGCTTCCAACTTTTCTGAAGTGAGGATGCATTGACGGGAGCAGCTTGCCAGTTCCTCGATTTTCAGGAAACCATGCCTCGACATCAATGAAAGAGAGGGGCCTATGCACGTTCGCTTGCAGATGGCTCTCTTTGCACTACCCAGTTATGGTCAGCGCGGCGATGAGGACACTGGTGGCGGCGTTTTTCGCAGTGCCACCTGGGCAAAGTGTGATGTCAAAGAAAGACTAATATCTAGCAGTCCTGACATCTTGAGCAGAATTCACGCGCACACATTTTTGTCGTGCCGTGGATAATGTGTGACGTTATAGAAAGTTTTGTACTGTTAGTGGCGGCATACGACTCGCCAGAAGCAACCACTTGCGCCCCCCTCCCCATTTTCATCATTTGCATAGGTACCAGCGATCAGGTTATCACAGTAAAAAAAAAAAGAAAAGAAGCATTGCATAAAGAACCCTTTCCTTATTCTTGCTACACCACCAGGCACTAACTAATAACCTCATTCGGTAAGACGAACAGCTGCATCAAACGCGTGCACAAAATCGGAAGGATGTTCAACGGTAATATATGCGTCCTGACTTCCACACAGCTTAGTGCAGAACAGCGCCAAAGACCAGAACTGAAAGGTGGAAAAGAAAGACGACGAAACAACTGCTCGAAAGAGCGAGCGCAGTGTGCCAAGGACGTTTCAAGGCAGCCGCATCACAAGCGCTGAGAAGGCTACGGCATCGCCAGGCGAGCAACAGCTATCTGCGCGTGCTACGGATGCGAGACGCGCATTGTCTTTTTTACCTGTGAATAGAAAACAGCCAGCCGACGTAGCAAATCTCGAAGGAGCACGAGCCTAACAATTGGAAGCGCGAGCTCCGAGCGGCTGCGGAAGTACCAAGTAGTAGTGATCGCGATCACCGACGCTTCTGAAGCGTATTTTTCTTCTCCCAGGCGCGCTGAGAAAACGAAATTGCCGATTAATTCAAGGCACATTAGAAGCTGTGCATTGTTTACTACGTTCTAGTTGCACATCGCTGACATCGCGCAACTAAAACTTGTTTTTCATTTTTTTTTTTCCGTGTTTTTTTCAGCCTTCGCGCACGGCACGGACAGCACCTACGTGGCTAATTAAGGCTGCTGGGACGCGATGACAAATTTCATTACGACAGGAAGCCCCGAGGTTTTTCAAAACACGTCCCAAACATTCAGAGGGAAAATTAAGAAATTTTAATTGTACCTTTGTGATGACACAGCGCTGGAGCTGCTTTGTTTGCGTCCGCTTGTTTCGCTACAACGGGAAGTGGATTGGCGGCGCTGCTTTTTTAAGGGCTCAAACGTATCATAACTCTCACACCTCAAACTGAAACAAATGAGTTACGCGTATATTTGGTATTATTTACGTACAGAGTAGTTGTGGTGCAAGTGTTGGGCTTATTTTACAGCTGCTTATAATATTTTGAACAAAGCGGCGACAAAACGCCTACGCTGTCTGGCAACATGCATTTGTTTACTTTTCTTTTATCTACGCGTGGTTTGTCTGCGGTTTCGCTGGAGCGCACTGTTTAACGACGCTGAAGCTCACTTTGGCAAGGTGTTAGCGGCTCACATTTGGGGTTGCATTCGGGGTTGAATGTTCAGTGTTGATTATATATTACGACTGAAACCGTAAACCGCGATGGCGGACCCATATGATCGCGGTTACTACAAAAAGCGTCCTTACGCTGCCAAGGTACTGAACGTCGTGCTGGTTAGAAACTGTGTTTTCAAATGCAAATCTAAGCTAAATTGTTGCACATGCTTCACCACTCGCGACCGCCTTCTTCAGTATGATTTCCTGGCGTTGTGTTTGTTTTTACAGTTCCAGGAGCGTGAGCAGGAGGCGGACTCGAGTCAGCAGATTAAACCGGTGTTCATACTCGCCAAGCATCCGGACCGGGTGAGTGATCTGTGTGATGAGCGGTTACTGTACCCCAAAACGCGCGTTTCTACGTATCTCACTTTCTGCGTCACAGAAATAGTTGTAGCAGTGAACTTTGAACACCGCTTCAAAGCAAAGCCTGTCGTTAGTTTTAGAAAACATACTATAGTCCAGTCTTTCGAAACAGAACTTGTGCGGACGAAAAATTATAGCCGAAATTCTCGATCAGTAACGCTTGCTCCAACATTGTTGCAGCAACGTTTGCTTGAAGTCTCAAGCACACCGATCTTGCTCATGCAGGACTGACCACGAAGTAAAGACTGCGTGGCTATGTACGCCATTCGGGTCTGTCGTGTCACGAGTGCGGCTTTTCACTCAGCGCCCGCTGATCCCAAAGGTCGGAGCTGGCTTGCGAATAGACTTACGTGGCGTTGCGCCGTACGTGGCAGGCCCGTCGCTGCTAGCTTCTTGACCGAACGCCATTTCTTCTCGAGCGTAGTACACGTAGAACCAGTTTAGATCTAAGTATCAGAGCAGCTGTTCCTGAAAGAAGACGCACTGCGCTGCATTCGCCGTCACGTACCGCCCGAGGCGGCGCGTCGATGTCTTTGTTTTTCTTATTTTACACGTTCTTACTGGCCCGGTCGGGACCCGCATCATTAAGAATCAATGCAGCGTGGCGTCTGCGCCGATTCTTCCGCTTTCTTTTGTTTTGCGGCACGATCTTGCACGCACCGCAGGTGTGACTGAGGAGCGAATGGCTGGGCACAGGTCACCGCACCGATAGGGGTGCTGCCGCGTCTCTTAACTGAGTCCTATAACAGTGACATCAGTGGTCTACAGGCTGGCGATGCAGATTATAAAGGAAAGAGTGCAGGCATGGAGGATGAGGGGGTGCTGGGGGAACTGCAGATTGGGTTTTGGAAACACAGGAGGTTGGAAGACAATCTGTTCTCACTGACGCAGTGCATCAAAATAGCAGAAAAGGAACTCGGGCTCCTGTGGCTAGCATTTTTAGATATTAAGGGAGCGTACGATAGCGTGGTTCAAGAGGACTTGTGGGGAATACTGGACACACTAGGCGTGGAAGATGTAGTCACTAATCTTTTAAAGGAAATCTATAAAAGTAACAAGGTAGTTATAAAGAGGGAAAAACAGGTATCCAAGCCCACAGAGGTGAAACGGGGACTTAGGCAGGGGCGTCCACTGCCACCCTTGTTATTCATGATGTACCTACAAGGATTAGAGGCCAAATTAGAGGGAAGTGGACTTGGCTTCAACCGTTCTTTAGTCAAACAAGGAAAACTCATTGATCATGCACTACCAGCATTAATATACGCAGATGATATAGTGCTAATGGCCGACAACAAGGAAGATTTGCAGAGATTGATGGACATCTGCGGTAATGAGGGAGATAGGTTAGATTTTAGACTCAATAAAGAAAAATCAGCAGTCATGATTTTTAATGATAATGAAGGTAGTGAGCTTATAATACAGGAAGTCACGCTAGAGATAACAGATAAATACAAATATGCGGGCGTATGGATAAGCTATGGGATCGAGTACCTAAGGGAACACGAAATATACGTGAACACTAAAGGTAACAGGAATGCAGCAGTGATGAAAAATAGGGCACTGTGTAATCACAATAGGTATGATGTTGTGAGAGGAATATGGAAAGGGGTCATGGTTCCTGGGCTGACGTTCGGCAATGTGGTCTTGTGCATGAGATCAGAAGTTCAAGCAAGATTAGAAATTAATCAACATGGAATAGGTAGGCTTGCCTTAGGAGCTCACGGGAATACACCAAATCAGGGAGTGCAAGGTGATATGGGATGGACATCATTTGAGGGCAGGGAAGCTAGCAGCAAAATAAAATTTGAGAAGCGATGGAGAGAAATGGGGGAGGAGCGTTTGGCTAGGAAGGTTTTCAGCTACTTGTACATGAAGAATGTCGATACAAAATGGAGGAAGCGAACTAGGAAATTGACTGGTAAATACTTGGAAAACAGCAGGGGGCCAAACCAAAAAGAACTATCGGTTAAGAAGAAAGTGAAGGAAACGGAGTCTGACATGTGGAGAATTGGGGTGATTAAGAAGTCCGCACTAGAGATCTATCAAACTTTTAAGCAGGAAATTGCCAAGGAAAGGATCTATGATAATACTCAGGGTAGTTCTCTACTGTTTGAGGCCAGGACGGGAGTATTGCGAACCAAGACGAATCAGGCCAAATACGAAGGGGTAGACACAGTACGCAGTGCGTGTAGAGAAGAAGAAGAAACTGCCGAACACTTGATAATGTTCTGTAAAGGGCTTCACCCTATAGTTCAGGATGATGGCACAGAGTTTTTCAAAGCACTGGGGTTTAGGGACAGGGAGAGCAAAATAGACTTTAAGCGGGTAGTCTTAACTAGAAGGAGGTTATCTGTTTGGTGGCTAAAGTCAAGGCACGAGTGAAAATTAAACCCTTCACTGCAAAGTACGAATCCTCAACCTCACTATTTAAAGGAAAAAAAAAGATAAATCTAATTGTTAGTTCACTAAGTATTACGGCTAGGTGGCGTTAGCTGCCGCCCGATCTAAAGGGTACAGCCACATCCATCCATCCATCCACTGTTGCTCGTGAGGTCAAGTTTCTAGAGTTGCGCCCACAATCTCCTCTGTGGTTGCGCCCCAATAATGGCAACGCACGAGCGCATCGCTGCTTTAATTTCGGCATTTTCTACGCTTATTTCTGACAATTGCCAACAATATACATTCTAAATGGCAAATTTAAGCAGCACCACGAAGTCAGAGCTCAGAAGTACTGACAACAAAATTAAAAGCAACCACATTTGAGGGTGGAGGCGAGTTACTTTGGTTGGGATTGATCACAGAAGAAAGTAAAGATGTGTGAGTATGCTCAAGAAAAGAAGAGAATCGAGCAACATAAATGGCATTTGTGTTGTGTATCTCTTTCCTATTATTGGTCCCGCATCTAGAATTTTTTTGAAGCTTCTCTTTTTTTCTGGACACATTGAAGGCTGTTTTAGGATTGCAGTGAAATTGCCCACTGCGTTTTGTAGGGTCCCAGTTACATAAACTAAGCATGTTGTTTTCATCGCTTCTTCTCAAACTGTGCGATTCACTGATATCATTGAGTGAGTGTTGATGCCTGAAACAAAGCGGTTACAATTTTATTTCTGTGGATAAGCCATACATTTTTGAAATAGGGTGGCACACAGCAACTATTTTTGGAATCGGAAGTGACACTTCATCAAGTGGGCATGACGACATGGGCCATAAGTTTTGACTGGTTCAACGCAACAAGTTGTGTATAATATTCATACTGTCCGAGATATGCCATACTGATGTGTGCTAAAAATTATAAACGCACTATTTATTCTTGTTTGATACAAAAGGATTTCTGTTTTAGAACATGAAAATGAAAACAATTGCGAAACGACCCAAGGAGTGCTACACAACAGGCACCGCGAGGCAAGTCGTCCAGGGCATCTCTGTAAGAGGCGCGTGGAGACTGGAAATGGCTTTTAACGTCAGTGGGAGAGCAGAATGTGAAAGAGAATGTTTTTTCTCATCGTCTGCTGTAGTTTCGAAGTTTGAAGGCTATTAACTTCTGTTATCGTGTATTGATTTTGATAATTTTTGTTGCATTCGTCTGAGTATTCTTCACGGCACTGCACGAACTCCAGTGCTGCAGGATGCAGATGCAAAAGCATTGCAGATTCCCTCTAAGGACACAACTCTACAAGATTTGTTTTATTCCAAGCCTTTACATGGAAATTGGTTACATGGCGTATGAAAATGTTATAACAATGAAACGAAAACATTGCATAGAGGTTTACTACTGAGTAGCGCTCGTAAGTAACAAATTTTTTAGCTGTGTACAGGGACAATGAAATTGTGTCTGAATAGATAAATAAGTGTTAGCTATCCAATAAAACCTGAAAGAATGGCTTGTGTAGAGAAACACTACTTTATGAAACTGTAGCAAAATATTTTTGAACTTCGTTCCTGTTACTTTATTCCCATCTGTTTATTCCACATTGGCGTCTAGGCTGCCAAGTTGTAGGACTATGCTCAAGGGTGCAGTTTTTTTTTTTTGGGGGGGGGGGGGGTTGCAAATGCGAATTCAATTATGTATTTAGATTAACATGCAAGTTATTGTACTCGGGATTGTTAGTATTGATCCTATGTACCCCATTAGTATTCACATCATTATATTAAGGTTCTGACATGTAAAATCCAAGCTAACTTAGCCTTTCTTTTCTGATGTTGTGAACAAGATGTTGAGCCTGTTTTACTGCTCTTGTGTAGTAATGTAAGCTAACCTATCCGGATTTTGTCTTCATGAGTGCTGGCTATAATAATCAACTGGCCAGTAGCCTATGACATCACTGAGTTGGAGGGGCTAAGAAAATGAAATAAATAATAAGGAACAAAATGCTGCTTCTCTGGTCTGGGCAGGGCACTTCTTCCCAGAGTCAGTCGCAAGCAAGTGGTAGATGCCACTTCCGGAGAGAGTTCAAAGCCAACCGTTCTGCTCAGCAAAGCATCGTCAAGGGCTGAATCCCCGGCGTCATCATCTAGCACATCTAAAGACGATGCCCCCGCCATCGGCATCGGTAGCCACTAACCCATCCATCAAGCAACCGCCTCCCGAGAGTGAGTGAATTGTGGGTCATCCTTTATATAGGCTTTGGAAATTTGTCGCCCTCGTCATCATTTGTATGATCAAAGAAGACACATTGTTGAGTATTACTGAGAAGGTAGCTTTATTGAAGTTTCAATTTGGCATAGTTCATTACGAGTGAACAGTACATTAACCTGTCTCACTAAAAGATGTTAACTTGTGATGTGTTATATATTCCAGAAAATTTAAATGACCTATCCTAATTACAGAGTAGGCAGCTATATTAACATTTTGCTGCCCAAAAGTTTTACCCACTTTCCGGAATTGCTGGTCTAAAATTTTGCTAGTGTCAGGCACCACGGAAAAAAATGCAAAGCTGTGCAAGAAATACTCGCACGATTACTTATCTCTTTCTTGCATTCTGCAGGCCACTTCTTTACCAATATTTGACCTGCATGTGATACTGCTCAAAGCATTCCGTTCCCTCGTGTTTCAACTGGCATGCTGTCTCCGCCTTCACGATTTTCATTACGGTTTTCTGTCGAATCACTGTCATCACTATCTGATGGAACCACGCGATTCTCCTTCGCACTAAAGTCGTCATCGCTTTCGCTAAATGCACCACTGTAAACGCACTCTGTGAAAAAGCGAGTGCGTTTACAGGGGTGCAGCAAATTTTGTCGTCCCCGGCAATAGACCACAGAGGGTTAACAGGGCCCTGCAACACTTCGAGTTATAATGGAATAGTCCCACTAATAGCGCATGAGGCTGTGCAAATTACATGCTAGCAAAAATATTTATAATCTGTGAAACACGAGCGGAGTTAAGTGAATTGACGCATGCTTCAAGTGCTTTCTCCCTCCTTTTATGCCAGCAAGCGGGCTGAAAGTTATGCAGGAAGCGGCATGACAAGGAGGCGAAAAGATTCGTCCCTTCGTGGGAGTGCATCGTGACCTAGAGCACTACTTTTTTTTCTTGGAATGCACTTCCTGCTTTCAGTGCGATTGCGAGCGTGTGCATAGACGTGGTAGCATTTCGAGGTGGCCATGGTGACTACAGAGCTCAGGGTGCTCAAATCAGGCAACCGCCATGCACTTGGGTATATAGCGCAGCAATTTGGGTATACGGCTTCATTTCTCCAAAGAATAAAGAGTGATTTTTCGCCGACTTTGAGAATTAATTATGAATTTTGGGCCGCGTGCTGCACTGAAAGTTTGGCTCGCGTGTTCTCGGGAGCTTGACCACCGTTGGGCAGCATTTTCTGACCATGCTAAAAAAATGTTTTAGGGCCAGTTTAACATGAGCCAACATGTGAAAAATAAATTTACGTGTGACTTCAACATTTGAAAAGATGAGCTTCCTGGTCTCCATGTATTATTCTTCAAAGAAGCCACAAGTTCACTGTATAAATAATGCTAGCCGACACTGTAGGCCTGCAAAAAACGCTTGTGTTTGTCTATTCCTCAGCGTCATTCAAGTTTCAGTGTGCGCCATCGTGTCTCAGCTGTAGACTAAAAGCTTGTTGATATGCCATCGGCTGCAGGCTTGAGTGACCGACTCGCAGCGCCTCCCGACATGGCTGCCCCTGTCAAGTTTATCGACGATTCCTTACAGTGGTGTGACAGTGCGCTCGAGGTAAGCCTGCATTTTCACCGCTAGGCATTGCTCTGTGATATCTTGTCAAACTGCCTTTTTTTTGTTGTTTTATGTGATATACTTGCTACAGTAGTGGTCTAGTGGCAATAGTGCTCAAGTGCCGACTCGAATGTAGTGTGATCGAATCCCAGGGAAAGTGGCTGCATTTATGGAGGCAAAATACTGGAGTTCCATGTACAGTGCTCAACTCGCATGTTTATAACGACGGAGCGTCGCGCGCGGAACTGCACAAGTGACATCTGCAGTCACAAATACGCTAAATCTGAGCATGCGCGGCGCTCGTGATGTTTCTGCCTTGTAATACTGATCCCTGTTTATCATCGCAGATGCAACAACCTGTTTGGCCAGTTAAAAGTGCTCTGTACGATTTAGCAAAAAACAAAAGCAAAAAGCAAGCAATAAAAACGAAGTGAATCGTTCTCACTGTGATATGATATCACGAAGCGAGAATAAGTTTATAGTATAAAAGGCACCTATCCTGACAATTGTTGATTCCTTTTCTTTGGTTCTATAATGTTGACAGCGCTTCGACAGCGATAGCAGTCATCGCGGCCGCGGAGATAAAGAAGGGTGGAAACTGCAGGGCAGACACATCACTGGCGCCGTGCATGCTCAAATGTGACATATTCGTTACTGCAGATGTCGCTCATGCTGTTCCGTGAGCGACGCTCTGTTGTTATAGACATGCAAGTTGAGCACTGTACATAGCTGCACAAAACCGTTTCCCTACCAAGTTTTTGGGCAAAAAACAACACGAGAATGCAGATTTCCTTTCATTTACCTATTCGATTTTGCCTGTCTCGAAACAAATAAAAAACTATTTAAATATGCTTTATTCGCAAGATACAAGCAAACTTTTTTTTGTTTGAAAATATGTGGGAGATAGTCTTCACTGCACTGCCCCATGAAAAGTGACCAAATTGGCTGGAAAACTGAAGCTCGGACTCTAGCAATACACACTGGCACTGGTAGTGGCGAACAGAGTGGCGGGCATCGGTAATCTGACAAGCGATGACGCGCTTCGGCATTTATACATGTGCCGTCGAATATTCCACCATTATCGCTAGCGGCCCTACAAGTTCCAGAAGAATCTGTAATGTTCGCAGTTATGCACGTAATCACACTGGAAGGTTGTACGGTTATCTCGACAGTTGTTAATCAATCGGGGCGGTTGCGCAAAGCAGCACGTGCACGTCTAATAGGGGCTGATGACAAATATTGAGAAACGATTGTGGCAATATATTGTTTAGTTAGAAGGCGTTTCTATAACCCTTGCACCGATTTTTTAGGAAACCTGAGTTTCAATAGCTAAGTTCTCTGCTGTGTTTAAATTCTGTATTTGGAATGAGAAATTCCTAATTTTAAGTCCGATTGCCAAGCTGTGTAATGTGTGTGCTTTTTTTTTTCTCTCTCTGACTAGTACCTTCTGGACCAGCCAGACTTCTACGTGGTTGGAATTATTGGCATGCAGGGCGCTGGAAAGTCAACCATTATGTCCATACTCGCTGGTCAATATGGCCAAGCAGGCACGAGGCAGGTATCTTTTGCTGAACGTTAGTTCTGGCTATGTTTGTCCAGTTTTTTTTTTATGATAGCATACCGAGTGCCTTGTTTTGTAATGGCTAGAAGTGCTGGCACATTGTAAGACAAGCATAATGAAATGATACTGGGCTCACTGAATTGAATGAAGGTCGAGAAAGAGCTTCTTAGCCTGTTGAGGAGAAATGAGAGTCGAAAAATGCATTTTCCAAACTTACATATCTTTTGATTTTATTTGCTTTTTCAAGTTTGGTTTCTCTACTTTTACGACAAAAAAAAAATGAACTGGAGATCAGAATTAAACTCACAATAAGAGCACAAGGTGTCCAATAAAAACTAAGAAAAACTCATTGTCTAGAGTCTCCTGAAAGTTGTCACCTGGCTGCTTGTCATTGCATTGTGCATGAGGAGTTGATTGATTGATTGATTGATATGTGGGGTTTAACATCCCAAAACCACCATATGATAATGAAAGACGCCGTAGAGGAGGGATCCGGAAATTTCGACCACCTGGGGTTCTTTAACGTGCACCCAAATCTGAGCACACAGGCCTACAACATTGCTGCCTTCATAGGAAATGCAGTTCTGCATGAGGAGTTCACCAAAGCCACATGCTCAAAATAACAATGATTACCAAGCTCTCATAATGAAAGAAGTAATTAAAAAAAACATTTTTGGTGCATAGATGAGCTTTGACTTATACTTTTAAAATGAATTTTTCTCAAGATCCAGTTTTGGGCAACTTCCACAGTTTAGACATAATGTTTTTCAGTACTTTTGATAGCCAAATCAGAATGAAATTTCGCCCAGATATTCTTAACGTGTGAAGGGTGCAAGTATTTCCTTTAAAGCTTGATATCACCTGTATAATTATTACAAACCTAAAGCAAGCAATAAGTATGGTCTGATGATTCTAAGAATTCTCATATTACAATTTTTCATGTCCATTGAAGTGTCTTGCATGCACTTTCCTTATTTGCCTTCTACAGCTTATGAAGCGAAGTATGAGCCCTTGATGGCTCACAAGCATAAACGTTTAGTGGCATAAAAAGTTTGTCCAAAACTAACTATATACATTGTCATGGCACAAAACAAGAACTGTGCAACTTACTATAAAATTAATTGCATATTTGAAATCAGTATAAAAGCTTATATATGCAGCAAAAAAATTTATTTGCCCTAGGTTTCAGATTAACGAAACTTTTTTGTTCCTTTCAAATCGCATCTCCCCGTAAAGGAGTGCCGACACAAAATTTCTTAACCTCTGTTTTTCGTTATTTTTTGGGTCTATATGAGTGGCTACTAACTTTTTGATCATAGTGAAAGAACTAGTTTCTCTCAGCATGAATTTAATGTTTAAGTATGTGTTAGTATGTTACGAGCCAAGGCCATTTGAATTTTAAAAAATTACCATTACATGGCCTTGAATGCCAGGGACCTTACTTGGCACCTTTTGCCATGTTGTCAGCGCAGCAAGTGCTTCTCTTCTCGATCGTCAGACTACAGCTCTTACCTAATGCGACGATTTGCGAGGGAGGCAGCAAGTGTAAAAATTTAGTTGTTGGGAAAGCTTGATTCACTGTGCGAATCTCGCTGGAGGCTGTGATTTTGTTCTTGTCATCTTTGTCTGACGCAAGGTGTTCAAGCCCTGGAGCAGCCGTGATATCACACCTGCTGAAACATTCTTGCTCCAATCATTTGTAATCTGCCATGCTGAGAAATGATGAAGGAAGCAGTAGAATTACATTCGTGTTTTGTAACGATATGTAAATGTGTAATGCGCAGGTGGCATGATGCACGCATTGCCGACTCGTATTTAGGTATATTGGGGAAAGCAGCGTCCTAAGGGTATACAAATCCCACATATGTACGTTTGATTGCCAAGCAGTTGTCTGCCCACTAGGCGGTATGATCCCAGTTAGTAGAGTGCTTTAGTTGGTCTGTAGACTTCCCAACATTGGCAGTTATTCTGCTACTGGAGCTGTTGATGCTACTGGAGCTGGTGGTGACGTATTATGGTGTTTTGTCCAACTGTAATAAATTCTAACCTTTTTTTTTTTTCAATTGTGTCACTGTTCATTTGGGAAAATAATAAATGAGAGTACAGCAAGTTTATGATTACAACACTGTCGATGCCTTACTCAGAGTCAGTATGCAAATAATTTGCTGCAATGTTAGTTTTCTGGGTCTCTGGTTAGGCTCTGCATCATTGGGTGTTGGTACTGGCGATGCTCGTCTCGCACTCGTCTCCGACAGACTTGCAGATTCTCGTTACATTGTTCACAAAGTGTACTTACGTGTGGACCTAATTGCTTCTTGCGTCACTTTCAAATTTGGTCCTTTCACAAACTTCAAAACTTGGTTAAAATGAGGTTTAGGCTTCAATTGTGACTGATATTGTATATAGGGCACCTGTATGTTTCTATCAGTGTGATGCTATAACAGTTAAATTGTGTTAGAATTTCTGTGTCGGGACTCATTTAACGGTACAGTCAGCGACTTCAATGTCAAGAGGAGAGAGGGAACTGAACAGCCAAGAATCATTGTGCACTCATGCTTCAGCTTATATTTGAAACTTAGAATTTTGTTTAGGTGATCTTCCACTTTGTGCATTTTCAAACTGTAAACAAACTGTAGTGGTGTATCATGATATACAGTTAAATATGGATATAACAAAATTGACTAATTTTCACTAAAACCTCGATATAACTCAACTTTGTTTATAATAAAGTGAATGAAGTATTCTTGCAATATATATATAGTGTTAGGAAGAAACCTTTGTGACGAATTTTCAGATATAACGAAGTTATCTTCTTAAGATGCAACTTCATTTTAATGAGGTTTGAGCGTATATGAATCTGTGCAGTTTAAAATTTTTGCTAGATTGTATAGCACATCAAATCCATGGGACACAAGAAACATACAAGCACGCCAAGTGCTAGCTGTGTGTGTATTTCCTTTGTGTCCCGTAAATTTCGTGTGCCGCACAATCTACAGTCATGCTTTACCAACACGTTCAGTCTGCAACCTTAGCAATGTAAAATTCTGTTGCGATTGGCCTACAAGACTATCAGCAGCATGGCTGGGAGTAACAGTTGCGGCCACTTTGTTGACTAAACATGCAATTGCAGGTGTTTGGTTTCGGACACAATATTCACCTCTTTTGGCAGGCAGCTGTTTCGTCCGCAGAGCCGAGAATTGCGGGAGCTCGGCCAGCATTGTACAACAGGTGTGGACATTTACGTCACTCCAGAAAGGATGATTCTGCTCGATACTCAGGTTGGTTGTTCGACTTTGCTCACCAGTTCAAAAGGCGCCTGCAGGAACCTTTGAGGGATAAAAAAAGTTGCAGTAGAATCGGTAAACAAAAGTATCATAAACAGAACTGCTGCGTAGATGGAACGACTGCTTCTGAAACGATTAGTATCGCACTTGTATTCTGCATCCCCGTTCACCTTCAGTACACAGAACTTCTGTTAAATGCAACATTTTCTAGGTCCCTTGAGGTCCTGTTTAATGATAGTTTGCGTTTATTTTCCACGGGTAAAACACATAAGGCCAGGTTACGTTGGCAGTGTATCACTCGGCAAACTTAGTTGCAAGTGGTCACTTTGTTTGGTGAGAATCAGGCTTGTGCGAATAGTAAATTTTGGGTTCGAAGAGAATAGTGGCTTGGTCAAATAGTTTCGAGTCAAATTCATATAGCTTATATCCCATATTGTAAAGACCAGTGGGCATATTATCATGACACAACTAACCTGCATAATATTTTATTAAGGTTGAAGCAAGGCCTGCACTAATGCCATTCTTCTTGCAAATGCCATTCTTCTCGTAGGAAGTAGGAACAACTTTGAATAGTAGCACTATTCGACTTTTGGTAGAATGCATGTGATAGCCTGTAAAATGTACTATGTTTTAATATTGCCTTTACAGTAAACTTTGTTAAGATGAACTCTGTTAAGACAAATTCTTGCTTAAGATGAACAACACAGGAGGTGTTTGTTTCGTTTCCCGTGGACTCAATTAAAATAAAATCTGGTTTAGATGAACTGCATAATAGGCATCTTGTGTTAAGATGTACTCTCGCAGTGACAAACATTGTAGTCTTGATGGCGGCATCTGGGTGAAAAAGAGAAAGCAACTCTCACAGTGACCAACAGTGACAGTTAGTCTGCACAACGAACATTATAGTCTTGATGGCGGCGTTTGGGTGAACAAGAGAAAGCCTGGCTCGAAGCGAATCTCGATGTGAAGAGAGAAAGCGAGGTAAGTGGAAGAGAAAGTGTTAACGAAGATCTTCAGTTGCATGTTATTCAGAAAAAGTTACTGTGTGCTGAACATAAAAAAAGTATCTGAACCCTAAAGAAAAGCTTGCAGACTTTCATATGCAACTTGAAATATATTGGCTTTGTCAAGTAGTGGTATGCAATGAAGTTAGGCCCGTCGAAAAGCGATATCAAAGCCAGTAGCTGAACAGCCAGGAGAATAAACTTTGCATTTTTTGAAGAAAAATTGTGCTTGTCTCTCTTTTTTTTTTTTTTCTAATTGTCAAAATAGGGTCGTGGTACAGTCTTCTTGTTGAAATGTGGCAGCAATTTATTCATGAGCTTACTTGCTGATAATTCACCAAACTGAGTACTCTTTAGATTAGTTAAGATACTCTACTTGAAAGCATATCTTTTTCAAGCTGAGCCAAATGCTTTTTCTTGTTCCTTCCCTCCCCATTATAAGTATACATCATTCAGTGTTTTAAAGCAATATATTTGGGCGTACTTAGCATGGTAGCATTTGGATTTGGTTTTTGGAGGTGCTTCTAATATGACGAACGTCTGATAAGATGAATAAATGATTATGGTTTCTTCGTGTTAGTCTTAAACGGAGTTTACTGTACTTAGAAAATATAACCTTTAAGCATATGAGCTGTTATATTTAAAAATAAATTATCAAACATTGTGATAGTAATATGTTTGCTTAACCTTAAAGTGAGTCTTCATCCCAGTGCGGACTTGTTCTTGGTTAGTATCTTATAGATTTCACAACTTAGAATCCCCCCCCCCCCTCCCTACTGCAGTGAAACCACTTTTACAGGGGATTACATGTGGACTAATACACTAGAACCCTGATTATACGACTTTCAGGGGACCACTCGAAACCGTCGTATAATCCGGGTTTCGTATAATCGATAAACAAAGCTTACAGAAAGTGACATTCAGCCTTCCCCCAAAAAATGGATGCAGACTTCCTGAATAAGTTTACTGCTCGACATTGCACATCTGCAAGGAAGGTACATTAAATTATTCTTGCCAGTGGCCGCTAATGGCAGCATTACTTAGTTGAAGGAAGTGCCAGCAAATCTTCATTCTCAATCTTTGAAAAAATTCAATCCAACACACATTTTTCTACTGATAAATCGAGTCCGAAACTTGCGTGCATGTGAAAACGAAACAAACTGTGTTGGCAGCAGCCGCCTATCAGAAGAGTCAGACAGTCTTATTATCACATAGTGGTGATGGAACACAAGTTTGCATAAAATGCCTTCGTGCACGACTTAGCTAACTTAGCTATGTGCGCTGTAATTTCTGGACTTGTGAAGTGCAACTAATGATGTCCTGCTGTTATTATGAACGTTGACAATAAGTGAAAGTAATTGTGCACGGTGAAAACAGCTTTGCGCCCTTATGCGTGTGCAAGCCGGTGACTGCCAGTGCGACAAAGGCAGGAGATTGATAGACCGAAAACAGGAAAGTACCACCTTTTTGGCTGGCTGAAGCTACTCTGTGTGGATAGAACTTGACTAGGTAACGAACCCGGGTACGTATGCGTGACTTCCAGGAGAATAAATTTTGCATTCTAAGATAACATCCTCTCGCACTTTCTACTTTTATAATAGTCAACGTAGGGGAACACAAGTTCATATTTTGCACTTGGGAATAGTTGGTCGATGTTAAAGTGTTTTTCTTTTGGATGAAATCTGAAAGTCGTCATAAGACGCGTGGTCATCGTAAAACAGCGTTGTATAACCAAGGTTTTCAATACATTGTTTCTGTGGCGATGTTGTGAAGACTGAACCAATTCATCGTAAAATGTGGGTGATCGCGAAATTACTGGATGTATAATCGAAGTTCCACTGTACACACCTATTTGATCATTTTGAATTCTTCAAAAGTTCCAATCATTTGAAAGCAAATTAAGTGAATTTGAGTACTGTAATACTTGCTTTAATATTAAACGTGTTCAAACATTTTCGCAGTTGTAGTGAGAATGTTTCGCGTTTTTCTTGCTGCCTGTTTTAAATTTTTTTTTTTCAGCTTACACTAAAGACTGAACTCGTGGAACTAATGAAAAAATGATTAAAGATTCAACTTTTAAAAAAAATTTTAGTGCAGTCTTGAATGCTGCTGATCCTTCTTACGATCAAGATGCCTCCATCTACCTGTCTGCATTTTCATGAATTTACACTCTTGCAATCTTCAAAAGCTTATTGAGGCAACATTAAGATGTAACGAAAATTATTAGAGCATCATACTGCTGTAGTGGACTCCTCAAAGCCATATAAAGCATGTGCGATGAGGATGTGCGAGCAAAGTCAGCATATGGTGGCATGTACCCTCCTCCAGTCTAGCTGCAATGCAGCCGTGACATTGAATTCACTTGGCCAACATCGTTCGAACGGCTTTTTCAGCTTCTGAATGCACAAGCACGCACAAGGTAACCAGGTGCACCTGGTTACCTTGTGCGGGTGCGTGTAGACATGTTAACGCTTTTTGCTACAATACAGACAATATTGCGGAGAGTGAGACAATATTGCGAAGAGCGAGCATCTTAAGCGAAGCAGAACAGGAACAATAATGCGCAGAAGCATGTGGTAACTGTACAGGAACCTGAAAAGCAAGATTAGATTACAGTTGAGTGAAAAAGTGCTGTGCAAAGATTACCAAAGCTGGGTAAAAAGGCACTCATTCTCGCAGCATATTTCTAGAAAGCAGCAGAGCAGCAGCACTCCCAAAGGTCAATTAGCGATCGAAAACATAACAAGTCCACTTCAAAGAGTGTTCTACACGGCAGGTCTGAAGGCCTGATGGAGTTCAACCGAAAGCACACCGGAAAGTGATAGCTTACAATATGATCAATATTGCGGCACGTTTGGCAAAGCAGATGGTTTCTTTCTTGCTCAAGTCAGAGTCACAGGTCGAGAAGCAGTTCAGACAGTCGTTGAACAGTGCCAGATTTTTCAGTGGTTATTTCCCTGATAAGCCCGTCAATCAAATTTCCAAAATGTGTTCAAATCTCTCTGCATTACTCACAGCCAGTCATCAGTGCCTCGGTGATGGACCACATGATCCAGTTTGAGAAGAAGACACCCGGTGGGGGAGATTTCCATTCACTGGAAAATGCTCATGTCATGCAGGTGAGAAGGAGTTCTGTTTCGGCCATGCATTGCGCAGCACGTCTCTTGCAACCTGCACGTGGAAGTTTGGCAGCGTCATTTTGGAGCAACACTTACCGCGTGCAAAGCAGTGTGAATAGAAAATGGTGATGGGTGCGTTCTAGCTTTTCACGCTTGGTGATGGATTTAGTGAGAAATAGTTGTATACAAGTAAACATGGTGAAAAATAACAATTCATGTAGCAAGAAATGGCTCTTGCAAGGTGCTTCACGCTAAATATATCTATTGCTCAGGTGTGATCACGGTATGATGGACACAGAGGTCCACTGTTGAAGGGAAGTTCAGAGTGCGTGGTGGCTGCTTGTCGCCACCGTTGGATGGCAGCTGCGACTGTTTTGTGTTAACGCAGTGCGTGCTGCGAGTGATGCTCTTTCTTATTTCATGCCATCTGATGTCGCTCTGCAAATCATTGCAAAGTCAACTGATCACGTGACAAAAGCGTAACCGCGTGTGGTGCTTGCTTCGCCTGTGTGAAACCTGTTGCAGCCTCCGTCCGGCGGTGGCAACAAGTCAATGGCACGAGGTCTTATGTCCCTTTAACAGTGGATCCCTGTGTGCATTTTCAAACTGTAAACAAACTGTAGTGGTGTATAACGATGTACAGTTAAGTATGGATATAAAAAATTGACAAATTTCCAGAAACATTCGTTAAAAGATGATTTCATTATATGTAGGTTCAGTACAAAAATTCGAAAAATAAATACACATTAAAAAAAGGAAAACCGAAGGCAGAGATAACTCAAAATACTCATTTAGCGGTAAAAAAACTGTTATTGTGATAGCAATCATGGGGTCATTATGCGATGTTCTGTAACAAGTCCTAATTATAAGATTCCCCAGCGCATCATAACTTTTACAAGCGGGTAAAAGTGTGTGAGTGCTGCTGAAGCAGATATCGAATGAGCCAGCTCTTCTGTATCGCCTGGAGAGTGTATATGATAACATCCCGCCCTCCACCCCCGCATGATAGAACTGCCGTAGAGTGCTGAAACAGAAAGGAAACCACCCTATTGAACGAGCATTAAAAACAGAAGGGGGAGAAGGGGTCGCTGGAGTAGCAATGCTGAACTTTGATTTCAAGGGCGCGGTCGCGATCAATCGCTGGCGCGCGTGCTATCTTAGCAAGCATGTAGGTGCTTTCAAGGTGAAGAGACTGTGAAAAGAGCATTTGTCCCTGGAGCGGCCGTATTTGCTTACACTGGCATTTTGTCGGTGTTCCGTGATGTTGGATTCAAAAGAGTTGGCTGCCAGCCTTACTTCATATAACTTTACAATTTGTTGCTATTGTGTTCATTACATTGCATTCAACGCGTCATTGTGTTGTAGCCAGAGCTAATTGGCTAATCGCGAAGGCTGCAGTCCCTCGAACTTGCAGCACCAATTGAAGCGCGTGACGAGTCGGCTTCCGAAGATCTGTCGTCATCACGATGGTCTCGGAGAGTTTCCATCAATGCTTAATCTGACATCCCCTCGATAGTGACGAGAAGGTTGATCGCATTCTAAAACAAACAAGAAAGCATACTTGAACGTCGTCGGGTGTCACACCTTGCAGGTGGGCACGGCGTTGACAACAAAAAACAAACGACACAGATACCGCGGAAAACTGTTCGGTAAAGTGCCCTCTGTATCCAGGGCGGCCCCACATATGCGACGCTAAATAAATGTATAGCACTGCCACTGCAAAAGTAGTTTTTTTTTTAGAGGGGGAGGGCACATCTGCGCATGGGTCCACGGCGGCGAGAACGGTGGCAACGCAAGCTTGTGGGGCACAGGCTCGCCTGCCTGCCGCCTCGCGCACACCTGCGTGCAATAATGAGCACTCGCTCTCGCGTAAAAGTTGCCGGGGCCATGAGCACGCCGCCTCCGCTTCGCACTTTTTTGGCAGCGGGCCGACCGCGGAAGATGCAAAGCTCAAACCAAAATGACAAAATCTTGAGCGAAATTTCAACATTGTCTGTTGCGAAAACTCGTTATGTCAACGTTGTCTCCCACTGTTACTTTGTTACATAGAGGTCTCAAATACATGGGCTTCTATGGAGTAACGGCGGATAATGGAAAAACTTCATCATATTGAGGAAATCCTTATATGGACATTCATTATAAGCAGGTTTAACTGTATTGCTGTTTCATCTACTGCTCAGTTATGTTGTAAATGTTTAACTGTGAACGGTTTTGAAATAAGCAACTCATGGGCAGACGTTATGAACATAGTTTAATCAGAATTTAGCAATTAACAAGAATACACTTTTGTTTGTGTTGTCTTTGGCTTTACCGAACTTTCATCTTCAATACTTTCATCACACCACGATCAATATGTGTGAGAGTGAATTTTTGTATCAGGTAACTGCTGCCCTTTTTTGTAACTAAATTCACTGGTTCAGTCTTTCATTTCTAAATTTTTTTGCTGTTGCACACGCAACAGTCTCTGCAGATGGCCTCTTTCCTTATGGCTATCTGCCACACGGTCATCGTCGTGCAAGATTGGTTTGCCGACCCAAATTTTCTCAGGTACGCACACTCTTGCATGCTTACATTTCCTATATCCACCATTTACAATTAACCTGTGTTAATATTCTGGTGCTTCAAATATTTCAATTAATGCTACAGTGTTCAAATTCGCCTTGACACAAATTTAAAATTTCCCAAATTTCGGGGTGTACGAAACTAGTAAACAGGGGTATTCGACCATATGTAATTATCTGGAAAAGGTAGTTTTACTGCCATGAAACAAGACCAAACCAAGATCCGAAGAGTAGAGGTTAAGTGTTCACTTTACTTCTACCCAATTAATCATTTTTTTTTAAAGTTTAGCAGTGTTTTATGTAGGGCTATGGCAAATTTTGAAACTTGATGTGTTTTACTACCTATAGCTCACGTCATATTACTATAGTCGATCCCGGATATATCGAGTTTGATATATCGAAAATTCAAAATACAAAACATGCATAAGGCCTGAACTGAAGAATTTCAGGCCTCAGAAATCGTTACAAGAGCTACAATGACGATTTGCTCAAAAACAAGGTGCAAACTGCAGGTTACAACACTTTATTTAGTCCGTAAACATGTCTTGCTTCTTGCACGCCGCCAAGTTAGACTCATTTTGATATCATTGAAGCGTTTCAAATAAGCGAACTTAGCTCCTTTGGCCGTAGCATTGATTGACACAGAACGTCAAAGCAAGCTTTGTAGCTTGGCAAAAGCTTGGTTAGCAGCGGAAGCGAAAGTGTTGGCATATTTATAATAGCACGGCTACACTGTCGCGGCACCGGCAACGGCAGCCGAAATCTCGGCAACGATGCAGCCAGAAACGTCGTCTGTACCAATGAAGTCGCTACTGTGTGAGATGGTGCCCGGAAACGCTGATAAGTCGCAGAATTCACTGAGGAATAGTGTGTCATCGTCAGTGGTCATGACACACCCGAAGTCGTCACCTGGCCCACAAGGAATGTTTACGACAGTGCTTTACTTGACGTCGCTCCAAGCGCCAGTCATAATTTTTATCCCTATGTGCGGGTCAAGGTTCAGTTCAACTCCAGAATGAGGATTTATTAGGAACGAGGTGAGAAGGCCACAAGGTGCAAAAGACGCAATGCCGAGTTCGCCATACGTAGTTCTCACTGTCGACATGTCGACGATATCGATGTCACTGTGGCTTTGTAGCTGGCAGCCACTGCTTTTAGCGACTGATGCGAAACGACAAAAAAAAATAATAATAAGCGTAGCCTCCGAGATGTGCGTTCTGAAACTGAAAACACTAAAAATTACGTCACGAGGTTACACATCTCGAAGGCCATGCTTTTCAGGCTCGCATGCCATTGTGAGCTAACAAACAAGGAAGGAAATGCGAACCACATGGGAACATTGCACTGAGATCATCCGAGTCACTTCGCATTTTTTTTTCAGTGCCCTCGGCAATCAGTATTTTGAAAAACCCTATGCCCACCTAAGAACTGCATATCGCGCATCAAACATACTGATGTACTCGAAAGTGTCGCGCAACGAACAAGATCAGTGCGATGAAATGACACCGTTTTTTCATCGCCTGCGCGCAAAAAAGGATCGGAACTTGTTAGAATGTCGCCTAAAACTTATCAATATTTGTTAGGGAAAATGCACTTTCTGGGCTTCAGCGCGGCGCAGCGTTCGATATAGTGGATGTCCTGCTGTGCAAGAGTTTGATATATGGGTGCACCGGTTCATACTTTTGCGTGGGAAATTAAAGGGGATTTTTCAAGTGTTCGATATAGCCAATAATTCTATATATCCGAGTTTGATTTAGCTGGGATTGACTGTATTTGAATACGCTTCAAAATTGTTCAATTCTATTTGCATTCACTTCAGCTTTGCATTGAACCAGTAATCGGAAAAGCTGAACTTTCATGCAACAACTAATTTTTTGCAACGTCTTCATTGGTGGAATGTATACTTGTGAGGGCGTGTTTGTGAATATAGGTATGGTATTCCACCCTTCAATACTGATACAATGGTCATTTTTTAACTCTGTCCATTAGCAATGGTTACAAACCGAGTAGTATATAAGAGTCTAGTGATACTGCATTTTATATCCCCTTCAGGCACAAAATATGAAGCGCTGTCTACTAATGTGGGGAATTCACGTAGCACAATTCCAAGGCACTCAATATTACATTCCAAGAAAGAAAATGAAGCAATGTGTTGTTTCGTGGGAGTTTCAGTCATTAATCGTACTTTGCAAGTAATTGAGTATTTTATTATTGTGCACTCTTGTTGACATTTCATGTTGACATTAAAAAAAAACAGTGATATCATTGATTCCAAATATGTGTGCAACTAGTTCTTGATTGCATTCATCTCTAGAAAAGAAAAGTTGTACTCTTGATGTTGGTTGGATGTTGAATTGACCGTCAAACGTAGTGCCTTCACCATTTTTCTTTGAGGAGTTGTATACCAAGTCACGCAGCTGGGAACAAAACGGCGGCTTTGCCACCGAATCAACTTATGAGTCTAGCCAGTGAATGGCCCCACATCCAAGCGGAAGCTCCTCTAAGATCTTCAAAAAGCACTGCGAAGGCAGCAAACCTAGACAACAGAGAGTTTCGCGCATATGGAGCACTTTACAGGCATGTCGAAGCTCAACCGATTACTTCTAACCGTGCATATTCACGCGAGCTTGACGTGTATGGGACAACAAGCGCCACCTAACAGATAGATAGCCAAGTGGCGTCAGCCCTCGCCATAGGTGCCGCTTGGGGGTAATCACTTTTCTAACCAATGTGCCAGCTCGACTGTTACTGAGCCGAGCGCGAATTAGTGCAAGCTGCGGAATTTTTTTGTTTTTTTTTTTTCAAATGCTCAAGCACTGAAAATGAGGAGCTCTAAAGCACTTTTCACATGCCTGGCCTCGTGAGCACTAGTTATCATTCTCACAGTGTTCAAACTCAGATTTGTTGTGTACAAATTTTATATTCTTTTTTTGAACCAAGATGTACGATTTTCAGTAAAGGATAAACTGAAGTATACTTGTTATGCTATTCATTTTGCAAATTAATGGTTTGTTATGAATGTCCTAGTATTGATGGCCTGCTATTTTGCCATTAGTACGCAACTCACAAATTCTGCCATTAGTGACGTACCGTGCTTTCCCTGTCACACTTTAGGTTTGTCCTTACGGCTGAAATGCTGAGGCCGACAACTTCCTCACACGACCAAAGTCGCAGCAACGGCGAAGACGTTGCTGAAAGCTTCCCTCACTTAGGTACGTAACAACATGAAGCCTCATTGTAAGTCCTTCCCTTGAAGCCTTTGTGTGAGGCATGAAATTATAACTACTGTCGAGCTTTGTTGTGTAATTGCATGTTTATGTGAAGATGCAAAAAACGTACGCTGTGGTGAATGCAGTTAAACCCCTGCAGCTAAGAATCTTGTCGTTGACTTACAAAAGTTTCAAGTTTTAGTACAGCAACGTTCATTGTAATGGTGTGAAGTGGCAATTTTAGTGGATCTTTTATACAAAGACTTAGTTGTACTTTGGGATTCCACTAGAGTTCGATACATACAATGTAGACTGTATAATCATGTGTATCCTCCCATTTATTTCATTGCATTTCATGTTTGTCACAAACTTCCCTCTCTACTCAGTTTTCAATATATGAGGAAAATTTATGAGGTATTTACAAGCTTTAAGGTTTGTGAAACCTTGGAGTACCAGCTGCACCTTTTGAATTCACAATGTAAATCTATACTGACATTGATGATGTTCCGAAATTATTTGCGATCCCTCAGAGAAAATGAAAATTTCACATTTTCTGCAACAAAAATCTACACAGCCATTACTAGTTTACATCGGCCGTGTGTGGGAAGATAACCTCAATGTATTTAAAAAAGAATTAGAAAAAAGTTGGATAGGATGAGCTGGATGCATATATTCATGTAAGAAAGTAAACAAGAAAGGAAATGTCTTGGGTAGCCTCCCTTCCTTTCCTTTGCTTAAATTTCACTGTGAAGCTTCACCGTCAGTCTGAAAATGTTTCTTACTTGAACTTTTTTCTTGAAAATATTCCTGGCTGTTAAAAAAAAGATGTCTTGCAAACGATTTCTCACGCTGCTTTGTTTCACTACCTCGCAGTGTTTGTGCAGAACAAATGCACTCCCGGCGACTTTTCTCCCGAGAATATTGCAGCCATGAGCCAGACATTGGATGCCATTTTTACCAAGTCGAAATTGAAGTACAAAGGTACCACTTTATTCTACACTCATTAAAGTATGGCACGAACTTAAGATAGACGAATCTCTATATTTGCTATCTAGATATCTCTATATTTGCTATCATATTGATAATAAATCTAGTTATACAAGCTATTGCTATTGACTTATGTCACTTATGAGCTATTTTGTCACCAATAAGAGCCTTTATTTTTTTCATACTTAATATAATATTTCAGTCGTGAATGTTTTTTCTGGCATTACATCTCCATATGAGATGATTGAATGATTGATTGCATCTCCATATGAATGATTGTGACGCTGGTATTGTCGCTCTAACTGAAACATGGTTGTCGAATACAGTCTCTGATGCCAAATTATTAAAATGTGAACAACGTTACAAGGTCTTTCACTGTGACAGATATGAGCGACGAGGTGGTGGTGTTCTACTTGAGATTAAAGATGACATTGAATGTTTCTTTGTTCCTGTTCTCACCGACTTAGAATCGGTATGGTGTTGTATTCGTACTGGCTTTAAAAACCTAATAATTGCAGTTTGTTACCGACCCCCATCCAGCGCATCGAACTTTTGCGATTCTTTTCATGACTGCTTAAGTAGGTAGCAGCTGCAAATTTGTAAGCTAGCCATCGAGCCAAAGACTGGGACATCCTCGCAGCTCTAAACAGTCTTTTCTTGTGGTTAGAGAGTCTATTTAAGTGTCGGTTGTACCAGGGAGAATTAGTATTGCAGTACACCTTTCTTACCGGAATATACTTATTTGTTAGTTCCAAAATTTTACTTCTAAATAGGTTCCAGTTATCTTCTGCAGTGCATTCAAAACTTGCAGGGAAAAAAGTATCTAAGAAAGAGCATAATTTAGTATTTATGGTGTTAAAGTCAGCTCTGTTATAATCTCTGATCATTTTAATATGATTGGATGAGCGCAAACGTAGAAACGATAGAGAGAAATGAATTATGTCGTGATCACTTAACCCAGGCAGCAGTGTTATCGGGGACACAACATCTTGAGATGACGTCAACACGGGATCTAGAAGTGATGATGTAGTCGAGGTGACACGTGTGGGATGCTGAACTAATTGTGATAGCCCAAAGTCATTGCAAATCGAAAGAAATTCGGTAGATTCAGATGACGTTGCCATAGAGCACTGGCAAGTGTCTGACCACTGAATGTCCGGGAAGCTAAAATCGCCTAAAAAAATAATAGTCGCACCTGGGAAACGAAGAGTAATCTGGTTTAAGTGAACTAAAAGTAGCTAAATTTACCTTTTTTAACAGAACCTTACCATCAGTGCTGCAAAAAAATCCCAAACAATTTTGGAACATAGTACGAGGTAACAAGCATAACAACCTGTCTTTAATATCTCAAGGTAATGTGATTCCGGATCATCAGTGTGCATGTTTACTTAACCGTACTTTTGCTGAAACTTTCTCTGAACCATCCAGTAGTAATGACATACTTCCTGCAAAGCCGTTTAATTTTCCCTCAATGGACATGATTGTCATTAGCTCGGAAGGAATACGGTCCATCATCAATAAACTAAAGATTTCATCTTCATGCGGCTGCGATGGTATCACCACAAAATTCTTGAAAAACTCGGCAGAGTATTCTTCTCTAATCCTTGAACGAATATTCACACAGTCTCTTCTTTCGGCAGTGCTTCCTAATGACTGGTTAATTAATAGGGTGGTACCTTTACATAAGTCCGGAACAACCCACGATCCAGGTAACTTTCGTCCCATCTCTCTCACATCAGTACCATGTAAAATTTTAGAACATGTCGTTTACTCTCACCTTATCAAGTTTCTTCAAGACAATGATTTCTTTACACCCGCTCAGCATGGCTTCCGAAAACAGTATTCGTGTGAAACACAGCTTCTACTTTTTACCAATGACTTACACATATCCCTTGACTCTGGAACAATAACTGACTGCATCTTTCTAGATTTCAGCAAAGCCTTTGATAAAGTAACACACTCCCTACTACTACATAAACTAAGCCTATTAAACATTGACTCATACGTGCTCGCTTGGATCCGTAGCTTTCTTACTAACCGCTCCCAATACGTATCGGCTAATAATTTCGACTCGTCTACTATACCAGTTCGCTCCGGAGTGCCACAGGGGTCTGTCCTTGGGCCATTGCTGTTCCTAATTTACATTAACGACTTGCCTAACAATATTTCTTCAACGATGCGCCTATTCGCGGATGATTGTGTAATTTATCGCCAAATATCTAATAATAATGACATCACTACCCTCCAATCAGATTTGACTAACGTGCTTAACTGGTGTAAATTATGGCAAATGGAATTAAATGTTTCGAAGTGCAAGTCTATGCGCATATCACGTAATACTACCGCATGTCCAAATTATTTCCTTAATAGGGCCGTACTCGATCCCGTCCCCTTTTATAAATACCTTGGTGTCCATATTACTAACAACTTATCTTGGAAACATCATATCAACTCTGTCACATGTAAGGCAAACCGGGTTCTAGGATTCATGCGAAGAAACTTTTACATGGCCCCTGTTGATTTAAAAAAGCTTCTTTACATTACGTACGTTGGTCCGCATTTGGAATACGCATCATCGATATGGGACCCTGGTAATATCACTTTAGTTAACGAACTTGAGAGCATTCAGAATCGCGCTGTTAGATTTATATTATCAGATTATCGCCGTACCGCTAGCGTAACAAACATGAAATTAATTATTAACATTCCTTTACTCGCTACACGCCGTAAGTTATCCCGTCTCGTACTCTTCCACAAAATATACAACAACTCCCTTCTGCGTTCACTTTTAATAACCCCACCGTCATACATTTCAACTCGTACTGACCATGCGCAGAAAGTTGCTGTTCCTCGCTTCAAGACATCAACATATTCCCACTCATTCCTGCCTAAAACTTGCAAGGATTGGAACCGCCTCTCACAATCAGTTGCATCCATCACCTCGCCTTGCAGTTTTAAAACATCGCTTGATAACATACTTGGTGTTGTAAATGTAAACGTTTGATTTTGTTGTTAGTTTTCTTGTATAATCTACTGGCTGTATAAAACAGTTGCAGCTGATAATACCGTAATTACTCGAATCTAACGCGCACCTTTTTTCCGGTTAAGCGAGTTCATAAGTCGCATGCGCGTTTTAATCGAGTACGAACAAAAAAAATTACGGTCAATCTATTGCCATCGGCAAATCCAAAATGGCCGCCCCCTACGTGCGTCAGCATGGCGCGTCGGCCATTTCTGCCTATATGTTTCCTATGTGCGGCACTTCGTACGTTTGCTGAGGAGTTTGTCATCTAGTAGTGCATTAGCATCGACGGCGTGGAAGGGCCGACTCCAAAAACTCGAGTGCACCACGATGCCGCTTTTAAAAGAAAAGTCATCGCGTGTGCAGAAACGGACGGAAATCGGGCCGCATCGCGGTCGTTCGGAGTTCCCGAAACGTGCGTGCGGGACCGGCGGAAACAAAAGCAGAAGATTGTCGACAGCAAAGCTTCACGCAAAGGCTTCAGTGGACTACAGCAGGGTCGGTTTCCGCAAATCAAAGAGCTTCTCGGTGAGTATGTGCTTGAGCAGCGAGTGGCACAGCGGCCCGTGACGACAGAACTGCTCCAAGTGCGGGCTATGCAATTAGTCTTAGAAAAAGGTCTAATGCGGAGCCAGTTTAAAGCGAGCAGGTGCTGGCTAACTAACTTTATGAAGAGGAAAGGCTTTTCCCTCCGAAGGGGAACATGCATTTGCGAAAAGTTTTGCAGTGGAGTACGATGAAAAGCTCCACAGTTTTCAGAGGTTCGTCCTAAACTTGCGGCGCAACAACGGCTACCTGCTTGGGCAAATCGGGAATGCCGGTCAGACGCCTCTTTACTTCGACATGCCTGGCACCACAACCGTCGAAAAGAAGGGGGCGAAGCAAGTTCGCGTGCTGACATCGGTCCACGGTAAAACTACACTGACGGCAATGCTCTGTTACGCGTCAGATGGGCACAAGCTTCACCCGTACCTCATATTTAAATGGAAGACGCTCGCGAAAGGAGTCGTTTTTTCGAGTGGTGTGATCGTGCGGGCCAGCGAGAAAAATGGGTGCGCGTTGCAATCGATGTCTTACATTTTTTTTTTTTTTTCGCGGTGGAAATCGGGTGCGCGTTACAATCGAGGGCGCGGTAGAATCGAGTAAATACGGTAGTTGCTTTCCAGTGTTTAATAATGTTCTAGTGTCTTGTCTATGTATTCTTTTCTTTAACATTGTTCGTCAGTGCCCGCTCCCCTCTGCAATGCTGTAAAGCCCTGAGGGTACAATGAATAAATAAATAAATAAATATCATATGTCTTCGATTAGGTATGTAGGAAAGCATTTTTGAAGTGCAGCGTAAAATTCCAGGCTGACAAGTCTGCCATATAATCAAAGGCGTGCCCTTTTGGAGCACAGAAGAGATCACATTGGTATGGAAAACAGCATGGGTGGTGCCAGTGCTAAAGCCCAGAAAAGATCTTGCGAGCCTCGCCTTATATTGACCGGTATCGCTAACATTATGCGTATCTAAGTTGATGGAAAGACTCATATGCACAATACTAACTTGGTACCTTGAGCAAGAAGGAAGATAGCCCGCGTGTATGACACGATTTCGCCCACGACTGAGCACCCAAAACAGTGTTTTGGACCTGCTGAGCTTCATCGAGTACCACCTTGTCAGCGGCCTCTCGACACTCGCCGTCTTCATGGATGTTGCCAAAACATATGACTGTGTGCTTCAAACAGGTGTCGTCAACGGACTCCAAGCCTTGGGTGTCTCGGCAAATGCTCTTCGTTTCGTACACGAATTTATCAAAGACCGGCGTGTTTGGGTTAAGCTTAGAAATGTCACGTGTGAAGAGCGAAGCATTTTTCTCGGCGTTCCGCAAGGAAGTGTTCCATCTCCCATGCTTTTTAATGCTGCCATGGCCAGCCTTCCTGGCACTCAAAGTAGCTCTGAAAGCAGTTGAAATATCCATCTATGCCAATGATATCTGCATCTGGATCTCAGGGTACCAATACAAACATCTGGCCCAAATAGCGCAAGGCACCATTTCAATCATTGAATGCCATTTGTCGCCACTTGGCCTGTCCCTATCAGCAAAGAAATGTGCCTTCATGCTTTTCCCAGGGGTGCGGGGGAAGTCAACGAGACTGTCGCTGAATATCAGAAGCCATTTCATTCGTCGTGCGTGGAGTGTTCATTTCTTAGGTGTTATCATTGTTGGTAAGTTACTATGGCGACGAGCAGTTGGTGGTATTGTGGCCACATCTATGCAGAGACTCAATGCTCTTCATCGCATGGCAGGTGTAGGCTGGGGCAACACTCCTATGTCGATGCTTAAGCTGAATGCTGTGCTCATAACGAGCCACATTCTTTACCAGCTGCCGCTGATGTTGTCTTCACTTAACCAGTTTGAATGCTTAGAAACAGTGCACAGAAAAGTTCTTTCATTGGCGATGAGAGTCCCTCGGGCGGCGTCAAACAAGATGGTCAGCGATGAAGCTGAGTATCTACCACTTTGCCTCCTGGAGTCTCAGGCTTTGTTGACGCAGCTTTCAAGACTGGGCGAGTCATCCACAGGCACGGCCCTCATCCAGCGGCTAAGAGCAAGACCCGACTCACATTTTCACACGGCGCTGAACACATTTCGGCATTTAGGCTTGAAATCGCCTCAATGGAGCCCTATCGACCCGCCATGGTCCTTAGTGGACGTTGCATGTAACTTCAGGGTTCCTAAACTGCTGTTGAAACACACTGTTCTAGCTGAAGAAGCAAAGTTTGTGGTGTTAGACCATTTGAGTACCATGTACCATGGTCACTTACAAGTTTACACTGACGAATTGGTGTTCACACAGACGGATAGCTGCGCAGCGGCTTTCTGCATACCCTCCCTTGGCGTGTCATGGTCGGGCTGCCTGGATCCTGTTGTGTGGTCCACAACAGTAGAAGGCGCAGCAATCACCGCGGCTTTGCGAAAATTGCAAATGCTTGCTGCACAAGATGTGGTTGTGCTGACGGATTCACAGTCAGCGTTACAGCGACTACAACGAGGGCTACCTCATGAAAAATTTAGAAGAAAATCTCTGGCGTTCATTAAACACCTGAATCAGCAAGAGCTTCAACAAGAAATTTCAGTGGATTTCATCCCACGTTGGAATTTAAGGCAATGAAAAAGCTGATGTCCTTGCACACAAAGCGCGAACTTGTATTGCTAAAATAAGAGCCCCTAAAACATACCAGAACAACAAGAATATAATTATCCACAAGTTTCCGCATCAGCCATGCATAATCCATGGATTTCCCCGAGAACAAGTGAGGCTGCTTTACCGTATAAGAACTGACTCTGCACACATGCCGGCTTGGTCATTCAAGACTGGGCGAGGTGCTTCCCCATTTCGTACCTTTTGTGGTGACATCAGTTACATCGAACATTTCATTTGGCAGTGCCCACAGCTTTACAGAGAAAAAAAACAGAGATGATACGCAGCTTGCAGAAAGGTTGCCACAAGCACGGGACATTCGAAGATGTCCTTTTTCTTGAAGGAATCATGGCTACGAGAAAGAGCGTGCAACGCATTCAGATGACTTTCCTGCGAGACAGTGGGCTGAGTGACATTTGGTGACTGACCACTTAAATTTAAAAGATGCTCAGGTGGAACAATTGCCAGCCTTTCAGGCCAAGCTAACCCTGCCTTTGCAACATCACAACCACCACCACCACTCGTAGAACATCGAAAGTGAAAAATGTCTTAGATTTTTTTTGTATGTCTGCATTGTTTGAACTGCCACACATTTGCAAAAATACTTCTCTTCTGATTCACGATTGATATATGGGGTTTAACATCCTAAAACCACCATATGATTATGATAGACGTCGTAGTGGAGGGCCCTGGAAATTACGACTACCTGGGGACCTTTAACGTGCCCCAAGATATTTCTCTTTTAGCATGCCAATCATATCATATGTGGAACTGCACTCACAAAACTTGTTCTTATATTAAAAAAAAAACCTGGCTTCTTGTAAAAACTATGTGAGCAAGGTATTGAAGATAAAAGTAACAGTCATGAAAAAATCATGTCATATAAAATGGAATAAAAAACCTTATTTTTGTTCTGCAGGACATGCTTAGCGAATAGCAGGAGTCTCCCACGTAGTGGAGGGCCCTGGAAATTACGACTACCTGGGGACCTTTAACGTGCCCCAAGATACTTCTCTTTTAGCATGCCAATCATATCATATGTGGAACTGCACTCACAAAACTTGTTCTTATATTAAAAAAAAAACCTGGCTTCTTGTAAAAACTATGTGAGCAAGGTATTGAAGATAAAAGTAACAGTCATGAAAAAATCATGTCATATAAAATGGAATAAAAAACCTTATTTTTGTTCTGCAGGACATGCTTAGCGAATAGCAGGAGTCTCCCACGTAGGGACCGAAAGGGAATCCTTGCGAAAATTAAGATCGAAAGTGCTCCTGTATCAGCAGTGCGCTCATCCTGCCATGCTTGCATTCTCAGGCCCAGGACACATAAGTATGGATGCCTCGGTCACACTTGGCAAGGAGAAGCAACACCAAGGACCAAATTTGTTCCTGCTTCCCAAGAAGCTGTCTGAGCAAGGTTGGTGTCAGCTTCGCTCATTCTTTAAATTTGCATTTTGAGAAAAACCCGCACGAGTAGAAAACCCCTGTGTCCTTTCGCTGTGTCTGTCTCTTTTGCACTGTTTTTACTAGCGTCTGTCGATTCCAACTCTCCAACCTTTCCATTTCCAGCAAAAGCCAGGATTAATAACTGCAGGGGCACTTTGAGGGCCCTTGCAGAAAAAACGTGGGGTATTATCGGTCGAATATGTGCCGCTTCATAATCAGCATGTGCTTACTCAAGTCAGTGCTATTAAATCAGTTTTCTGGGGTGATTCGTTTGAAACTCTTGAATTCCTTCATGTACACAGATATGCCTGCTGATTGATTGATTGATATGTGGGGTTTAACGTCTCGAAACCTCCATATGATTATGAGATACGCTGTAGTACCTGGAGCCCTCTGGAGCCCTCTGAAGCACACGGGCCTACAACATTTCCGCCTCCATCGAAATTGCAGCCGCCGCAGCCAGTATTTGAACCCGCGACCTGTGGGTCAGTAGCCGAGTACCTTAGCCACTAGACCACCGCGACGGGGCCAGATATGTCTGCTGTGTGCTTGTTTCAGAAGTTTTGTTTATATGCATTGGAATTTTAACTACAGTGTTTGCAAGGTGGTAAAGGCAATGTACAACACATCGCCAAACATGTAGAAAAATAAGGAGCAAAAACAATTACTATTTCATATGTTGTATGTTAGGCTGTGCGAACACCAGTACTTTTGAATGTTTTTTTTTTATGGTGTTTGATATTCGATTCGCAGGGGAAAGTTACTATTTGAAGTATTTGAACTCCTGAAGAATTATGCAGTGGAACCCCGTCCATACGTTTTTCAGCGGACCGGGTAGGAAAAACGTAACAGCTGAGAAAACGCAAGTGTGAGGAAAGCTCCGAAAATGAATGAGAGCACAGGCTCTTTGACTACAAACAGTTTATTTCTTTCGGTAAGGTCAGCCTAAGATTTAAAATATTCGAAGATAGTTGACTGCCGCTTCTTTCACTCGCCGATAAGCATCACACGCCGATAAGCATCACACGTTTCGCAATAGTATGGAAGGCCGCATTGCTTTGAGCGTCGCTTTGGTGTGCGAAGGTAGTCCAGGGTCACGACGACTTCTCCAAAGTTGAGATCGGCCGACTACGCTGCCAACTCATCAGAATTGTGCGGCTCGTACTCGTCATCGATGTCCCCGTCTTCAGTTGCGTTTGAGTTTGCAACGATCTCTGCGATTGCCTGGCACTGCGACCGTTTTGTAAGCGATGACGTGCCTCGTGTGGAAACAGTCGATCCAGCCATTTAACGCCGCAAAATCAGCGATGCCAAGTTTCTCAACTACAGTGAAAGCTCGTTAATTCACACCTCATTAATTCGAAATTCTGGATCATTCGAAATGATCGCCGCAGTCCGGTCCGCAGTGCATAGGAGACCATGTGTAAAACGATTCGTTGCTTCGAACAGAAATTGCTGCTTCTACGGATAATTCGAAGCGTGCGCCGCCGAGCGTCATCATCGTCAAACACTAGTGGAAGCTTTTACGGTCGAACGATAGGTGGCACGACCAGCTTTTTCGAGCTTCAAGTGGTCTCCGAGCAAAGGGCGAGCAAGGTATGGCCTCCAAAATCCAGGGAGCAATTTTTTTTTTCCGTAGCCCTCTTGCTATCTTAGCGCCTGGCCCCACTTGTACACGGGACCCACGGGACGCTGAGGAGTCGGCGGAGTAGTCCTAGCAGTCCTAGGCCGCTCCTCGCAGCGTCACTTTGTTCCTCGAGCACGTTGTTCGTTCACGCCGTCAAGCCGTCTTATTCCGCATCGAAGTTGCAAGATGCCACGGGGAAACTACTGTGCGAAGACTGTCAAGGAGAAGGTGGAGATTTTGCGAAAGGTTGACCAAAGGAACTCGAGCAAATACGAAATTGCGAGGAAGCACGGCATACCTCCGAGCACGTTGTCAACCTACATTTGCAACAAGACGGCCATTGAAAATGCCTATGAAGCCAAGGATTTTGGCGCCAGTCGAAAAAGGCTAAGGACAGCGAAGATCCCGGAACTGGAGTCAGCTTTGATTATCTGGGTTAAAGAAATGAGAGCCCAGAGTATCGCATTGAGCGGCCCTATCATCGTGGCCAAGAGGCAGCCGATTTCGCCCTGCGCTTGGACATTGAAGACTGTCGCCTCCGAGGGATGGTTTCATCGTTTCAGGGAGTGGCACAATCCCGTATTCCGCACGTTATCCTGCGAGGCAAAGGAAGTGGACGCTGAAACATGCGCTACTTGGAGAAGCGACACCCTGCAGCAGTACTTGGAGAGCTACTCACCACAGGATGTGTTTAACGCTGACGAGACAGCATTATTTTTCAAGTTACAGCCAGACAAGACGATCACCTACAAGGGAGACAGCTGTGCCGACGGCAAGCGCAGCGAAGAGTGTGTCACTGTTCTGGTCGCCGCAAATATGACCGGTACGGAAAAGGTCCCCCTTTTTGTGATTGGCAAAGCACTCAAGCCACGGTGCTTCAAAAACATTTGCTCACTGCCGACGGAGTACGCCGCAAACAAGAAAGCCTGGATGACAGGTGACCTATTCAGGAAATAGCTACTGAAATTCGACAGGCGAATGGAACTGGGCGGCAGACGCGTTCTTCTTGTCGTCGACAACTGTTTGGCGCACAAAGTCGACGTTGAGCTGAGAGCAACTAAGTTGGTGTTCCTTCCGGCAAATACGACTGCGGCCCTACAGCCAATGGACCAGGGTGTGATAAGGAATATTAAGTGCTTTTATAGGCGTCACGTGCTGGAGAGAATGATTTTGTGCGCGGGCGACAGGAAGGACGTCGGCATTACGCTGCTCACTGCCATGCACATGTTGGTGCGCGCATGGGAACAGGTGACCGCGACCACAATTGCAAACTGTTTCCGCCACAGGGGGAAGTGCGCATGATAGTTGTGACGTCGATGTGGATGGGACTGAGGAGCTCATGCCAGTGGCATTGCGCGACACTCTTCGGGGCGTACGTTTTGCCGATTTATGTTGAAGTTGACACCGGTGCATCGGTGTGTGGTGCCCTGACTGATGAGGACATTATCGCTGAAGTAGCAGGTGCGCAGCCTGATGCTGAAGAGCCAGAAGGTGAGGAAGACGAAAATGACGAAGCGCCTGTGCGCCCGTCAGCTTCTGGGGTGATGGAGGCACTTAATGTAGCGCGTCTCTTCTTCAGCTTTGAAGAGGGTGAAGAGGATTCCCTGCACCGCGTCCGCGCCCTGGAACAGAGAGCCGCAGCTGTGGCATTCAGAGAAAAGAAGCAGATGGTCATCACCGACTTTTTTGGCCAATAAAATATTTTTCGTGCCCCCCGCCCCCGAAATCCACCCATTTTTGCTCACTTTCATTATTTCGAATTTTGTTTAATTCGAAATTACTCAGCGTTCCCGTGGAATTCGAATTAATGAGCTTTTACTGTATTTCCATCACCTTCACGCGTAAAATGCTGCCATCAAAGTTGATATCGGCAGCGCGAGCTTGCTTGAACCAGGTGAGAACAGCCTCGTCAAGCTTCCCGTGCTTGGCCCCTTGAGCTTCTGCATGCTTGGCTTTCGGGCCGATGAGAGCGGCATTCCCTTCAATCTTGGCACGCTTCGAGATGATGCTGTTGAGGGTAGACGGTGGCAGTCCAATGTCTTTGGCAACATCGACCTTTTTTTGCGCTGGCTGCTTGTCGATGCTTTAAGTACGTCTAGATTTTTCTCAAGGGAAAGAGCTTTCCGCTTGCGCGATGCCATTAAGGCTTGACAAAGACTGCGTTAACAAGTTCAATGGTAACAGGCTTAGCACACGCATTAACGACTAAAGACGAGTTGCAATGAGCGGCGTGCGGTGGTGGGACTGTCACGCCCTTCCGGCATTCGGTAGTGAAACTTCCGTTGTAAGTGATGATGGTGATAGCACTTTTCACACATGGCTATCTAGGGGCAGCCTCTACAACTCGCTGGTGGCTTCTTGCAGCCTGTTTCATAGCCAAGCCAGGCCAAGACTGTCAAACGTCAAATCAAAATGGTGGTGCCCAGGCGGGTTCAGCGGTTAGGTTGCGACCGTGGTTGCGGCGCATCATGCAGAAATGTTCTCACAGTTGAGACTTAACAGCGGGGTTCGCAATACATAAGATAGTATGAGAGGTATGCTGGGACTGATGAAAGACAACATAACAGTAGAGAAAATGCAGTAGTGAGGAACGTAACAGTGGTGTTCCACTGTATCAATAGTTTCATTAGCTTCGTTAGCATCATTAGCAAAATCAATTTGCAGTGGTGCTAAGTTATGTGTGTAAACCCAATTTTTCTTGCGAATATTGGCCTAAGTGAACTACTGTCACCTTACCCTGAAGCAGCTTGAGAAAAGATAGCTCAGTCAGTGCACAGACTAGAAAGAGTTCAGTGTAAAAGTGCAAAGCAGAACATATGCTTACACCGTCCTTGATCGAATGTAATGCGCACCCAAATATGATGATCATAATAAAAAAAAAAGGCGGTCACAATTTACCCACACAGAAAATGAAGTTTGTTCTGCTGGCAGTTCCTTTCCTTCAGTGATCCAGTTTTGTATACACCTCAATCATGCGCCGATTTAAAGGCCATTACTATGACAAGCTCGGTCTGCTCGGAGTTGCTTGAGAGCATTGGCAAGCTTCTCCTGAAGGTCTGAATATTTTTCCGTTTTAGGCCTGTAAAACTATTTTCTACTGGGTGTATTCAGCTGAAGATTTTTCTTTGCTTGCATCACTTCATGACATAAGTTCCACGCTTGCAAAATAGACAGGACAAGCAGTCTCCAGGATGTAAAATAACTTTTCTTTGATAATAGTTTTCATAAAAAAAGGGGGCGCGCACCATTTTCACCTTGCCGAAAACAAACCTGGCGTGGGCACACCTAAGTCAAGCATGAAATGCGCCTTTGCAGGCTTAGCGTCAAAATGCGTTCTGACGCCC